CAAAGAGCCAAGACACTGGAAAAGAAATTGCTACAAATTTTAAGTGCTTTAGACACCCTCAGCCCTCCAAATAACCTCTCCAAGTGATATCACTCAACCATGTCTGACTCTTTTCAACCCTATGGACTGTAGCCCTCCAGACTCCTATGTCCATGGAATTCTCCAGGCAAGAATACTTGAGTGGATTGCCATTTCATTCTCCAAGGGATCTTCTCAACCCAGGATTGAACCCAGGTCTCCTGCACTGCAGGCAGAGTCTTTACCATCCGCCACCAGGGACGCCCAAATAGCCTCTCCAGTGTCCTCCCAATTCTCTAGGGCAGGGCTCACAGAAAATATAGGGGCTCTTCCCAATCCTCCCTCTGAATGGTCTTGGAGAAATATCCCCCCAGGTTGGGAATGAATCTCTCCCAGTCCTAAATGTTACCAGAGCCACACTCCCAAGGCTCAACCCCACTACTAAAACAGCTCCTGCTCCACAGTACTAATCAGTTCAAATAGCGGAGATTGCTAATGAACCTCGAGAGGTTCCTGTCTCTGAACCTATTTCCTTTTGTTTAGGCCCTTTGAGAGATACATGTCTCTTTCTTCTTAGTTCCTTTGTCCCTATCCATTGATTAGGCCAAGACTTCTTACAGAAGTATCATGTTGGAATTTCTTTCTCCCCCAAAGGAGAACTAATTCTAGGACTTGACAGTAGTCACAAAGCAGCCCACCAGATGAGTTAAATGACATCTTTTATTTGCTTTGTGTCTGACAGTACTAGAGATGGTTCTGGAAACACTGATTCTTTGTCCCAGTTGAATCAGCTACCACCCACCTTAAGAGCAAAATCCTTAACCAGTACTGGCAAAATTCACAGTGCACCTCCAACTAAGATTCAAATAGATTCTCAAAATCTCTTCTCAGAATTAATCAATGTCCTGTAAATGAAGAATCCTTCCAGGCACAAAGTTAATAACAGAAGATTACAAGGCTCAAGGCTTCATTATCCCTTGTACTGGCTCCTGTAACTCTCCCATTTTGCCATGAGACAATGTAAGAGCCAAAGCTGGACAGGTTTCTCCTGAACCTCAAGCAATAAAAACAATGTTATCCCTCGACACCCTATTGTTCCTAACCCTCAAGTGTGACTACTATCCAACCTCAATTGGAGCAAATTCTTTACTGTAGCTTATTTATGCAGTGCATTCAATTAGTATTCCAGTAGAAGAAGCTAGTCAGTACCTTTATGCATTCACTCTGGAAGAAAAAAAATTTCACCTGAACAGTAATGTTTCAGGATTTTACTAGGAGTCCTCCCTATTTCTCACAAATCCTGAAGCCTGATCTGGATGATAAAAATTTCTCTAGGGATTACCTTGGTGTACTATGTGGAGGATTTGTTTCTTTGCTCTCCTTTTCAAGCTTCCTTATAAAAAGACAGTATCCACTCGCTAAAGCTTTTAAACTTGAAGGGACATAAGACTGCCAAAGAAAAGTTGCAGCTTGCCCCAATCCCTAGTTTCCACATGCAGGGCATCTGATATCAGAACAAGAGTTATACCTAGTTCCAGATAGACTTCACGGTATCCTAAATTTCCCCAAACCCCAAACTAAGTGCTGACTGCTAGGTTTTCTAGAGTTACTTTGTTATTGCAAAAACTGAATTCCAAATTTCTCTCTTATGGTCAAACTTGTGTATGTTTTACTAAACAATAATAACACTGACCTAATATTATGGGAAGAAGTAGATGACATAGCTTTTAAGGGCTTAAAGGAGAGTTTGATGAATCCACCTGTCCTTGGGCGCCTCAGAGATCATATTTCCTTTTCCCTTTTGGCATATGAAAAGGAAGAGGTATGAGTATACCTTGGGGTACATGCCCTAAAACATGGTGAGAACCATCAGCCCACGGGGTATGATAGCCAGCAACTGGAGCCTGCGCCAATGGGATACCCCCTTTGCCATTGTAGCTACTGCCCTTTTGGGTAAGGGCTACCAAGAAAAAACCTTATGAGATCTTGAACCATTTTTGTGCCTCATGCAGTAGAAGCCCTCCTGAATTCTCATCACACTCAACATTTCTCAGTCAGTTGCCTCACTTCCCATGTGGTCCTTTTGTTAACTGCTCCTTAGAGAACTCTTTTACATTGTAATATTCTTAACCAGGCTACTTTTCTCTCCATGATGAAGTCCCTCCCTACCAATTAACGCTGATGGTCACTTCCTAACTCTCCTGATGATCTTCAGGAAACTCTTTTGGGTAATGTTGACTTCTCATGGCTCACTGATGGTTCCTATTCAAAAGGTGACAATGAGAAATATTTTGCTGGGTATGCTACTGCAACTCCTTTGATGTTGTTACTTTAGCCCCGTGGTACACATGGTTACACGAGTGATCTCAAGAGGTTTCCAGTCCTACACAGACTCATACTTCAGCCAAAGACAAAACTGCCAATATTTATACTGATGGTAGATAAGCTTTTGGAATAGCTCATGATTCTGGAATGTTGTGGAAACAGCACAGCTTCTTTACTTACAGTGGAAACAAAATTTTAAATGGCCTCTATGTTCAGGGATTACAGGATGCAATGTTTTCACTTGCAGTTTTAGTTATTAATAAGATTCTGAGGCATTCTAAACTTGACTCGCTGGAAGCTAAGGGAAATCACCTTGCTGACACTTCTGCAAGGAATGCTGACCTTAAAGGAACGGATAGCAGTCAGACTTCTGTCACGGTCCAAAGGGATATTTCCCCCAAATGATAACTTAGCAAAACTAGCTAGAAAAGCCCAACAATTGGCCTCAGAAAAAAGAAAAACAAGACTGGAAATTCAACAATTCTTGGTTTGATAAAAAAGAGAAAGCTATTTGTTTGCACTGAACAACTACCCAGTCTTACCAGAGAGTAAAATCCCCATTCCTCACCACTGTACCTGCATCAAATCATTGGTCTATTCATGGACGATAGCATCCATGAATCAATATTAGTGAGGAAACATTAGCAAGGCCACAAAAATGCTTACCTCACTATTCCACTTCTCTGAAACACAGCTCAGGAAAATCTGCTTGCACTGCTCCTGGACACTGTAAACTTACTGATGGACCATTTGAGGTCTGGTAAATGGATTTAATACAACTTCCTACATCTCATGGAGATAAATATCTTTCAGTCATGGTCTGTATGTTTTCACACTGAATGGAAGCCTTTCCTTGTTGACAGACTACCGCCTCTTCTCTGGACAAAGCCCTTTTGGAAAAAATTATACCTACTTGAGAAACTCTTCTCAAACTTGATAGTGATTGAAGAACTAATTTCACTAGCCAGGTACTTTGACGGGAGTGCATGCTAAGTTGCTCAGCTGTTTCTGACTCTGCAATCCCACGGACTGTGGCCCACCAGGCTCCTCTGTCCATGGAATTCTCCAGGCAAAAATAGTGGAGTGGGTAGTCATTCCCTTCTCCAGAGGATATTCCCAACCTAGGAATTGAACCCAGGTCTCCTGCACTGCAGGCAGCTTCCTTTACCACTTGAGCCACCAGGGAAGCCCAGGTACTTTGACAAGTCTGCACTATTTGGCTGGTTTTAATACACTTTCATTGTGCTAACCACTCTCATTCCTCTGGTTCAATCAAATGCACTAACAGCATTATTAAGACTCTGGCAATTTCTGTAGAAAACCTCCAAATACCTTAGCAAAAAGCACTGCCATTGATTCTTCTAAATCTTAGACCCACTCCTTTTGGAACTCACCAACACATACCCTTTAAGATAGTCACAGTACACCCAATGTACTTGGCTTCTGCCTTTTCTGCTCCACAACTGATAAAAGGAGAGATACTCTAATACAATTTCTATTGAAAATAATCATGTTACTTGTAGAGCAATCTTTTCCTGGTATGCTCTTCGGAGACAAAGATCTTAAGCATTATGCCTTGCGGCCTGGATATTTTATTTATTGGAAAAGACTATCTTCAATCATGCTGGAAAAGCTCCTGGGAAGTACTGCTAACCAACACTTGTGCTACCAAATTCCAAGGAATAGACTCTTGGATTCATATGACAAAGAAGGCAGTTAAATCCCGATTGGACATGTACATCACCCAGTCACATGAAAGAAAATATTTCCTGGAACTGAAGCATACAACATCTGATGAAACAGCTTTCCCAAGATATCCAGATCAGGCCTGTCAGAAGTGTGTTTCCAAACCTCTGATGGAGATATAAAGCTTCAGGTAAACTCCAGAGTCTATTATCTTGGTAACATGGACTTTGGATTTAAAAAATGCCTGAGATTTCTCCCTCCTTCCTTGTTACTCAAATGCGATCTTGTTAGGTTTCCAATCTGTGCACTTTCTCTCCAACATGGGACACTATACCCAGGAAATGTCCTTCCTGACACTGAGGGACAAAAAGCTGCTGAGAAGTGAAAACCTGACTCATCAGTGATGCTTTCATAAAAAGAACTCCGTCAAGAGGAGAAAATAAAAAAACAAAAACAAACAAACAAACAAAAACTAGAAACTTCAATTAAATAGTCAGGAGACCAGGAGGGGGAGCTCTCATGCCCTGTGACAACAGACAGAGCCCACGAAAGACTCCTCTTCTATCCTGGCGACAACTCAGCCAATGAAAAGCTGTGGACTCCTGGTTTACTCCAGCCTTCCCAACTTCCTTTTCTCCTCTATGAAAGAGTTCTCCTTCCCTTGCTCTGTGGGGAGTTGCGTGTAGCTTGACTTGGTTGTAGATTCCAAGTTGCAAGTCTCTGCTGATCCCAAATAAGCTCATTTTCACTAGAGAAATAAATTGCAGTTTATTTGTTTTTTTGGTCAATGTCTCTCAGTTCACAGAGCTGTTGTGGGGATGGAAATAGCATGTGAGGAACCTGTGTGTAAACTACAAAATGTTACGTGTAAGTGAAATGATGGTGAGGTTAATACACGGCCTGTCCAAGAATAGTTTAAACACATTTCCGTGTGCCTGCCAACGCTTTGATGAGCTCTCTGCTTGGCTTACCTGGGCCCTCCTGAACATAGTCAGCCATGGGCCCCGTCACGGTGGCGATGTCGATGTCGGCCATCTTGGAGCTCAGGGTGATCTCCCAGAAGTCAGCGGGGCTGCTGCAGTTGCTGCTCCGGTCCCCGGTGTACTCCTGTCAGGAGGAGCACAACCCAGGCCTGTTACGCCTCTGGCACCTTGTTTTCCACGGAATCACCCTGGGTGCCCCACCTGCCTTTCACGCACCTTCTCATAAAAGAGCCTCTCCAGTCGCCCATCCTCCTTCTTCAGGGACAGCCAGCGTCCACACAGGAACAGGAACTCATCCTCATTGGTGTCGTTCCAGATCTCTACCTTCTCCACGTACCAGTCTGCGCACCACTTGGTATTGTCGTGGCGGAGCTTGATCTTGTAGATGACGCCCAGGTCCGCAGCCTCGATAATGAAGGTGTCGGCCTGGGAGTCCAGATTGGTGGATTTGGGTGGGGGCCCCCTCCCCGCCCCTCCCCGCCTCCACCTGCTCCAGCCCCATCCATCTAGTACCTTTCATCCCCCTTAATTGCTGGGCTGAACAGACCTTCCAGGCTGGAGCCCTGCAGGCCCAAATCCCCAGGACAGAGAGTTTGATATTCCAAGGCCTTGCTTTCACAATTGCCCTGTTTTGCAGTCTAGCTCCTCTTGGGATAAGAGGACATTCTGGACATGCTGAGTTATGCAGAGTATTGGCTTGAGATCAGCTAGGAGGCTGGATGGTAGGAGCTATGGAAGAGCTGGAATCTTTCTGAATAATGAGAGAGGGCTTGAAATTCCCAGGGGGGAGGCTGGCAGTTGGAGGAGCCAGTCCGGGCTGCAGGAGAGCAGAGAGGCGAGAGGATACGGCGCAGGCCAGGCGATGCACAAGGCCCAACACCTGACTGTGAGTTCATGAGGGATTTTGGGGGGGGGGGGTGACATAGGCCCTCCTCTGTGTCCCTGATTATACCTTTCGTGATGTGACATTGTATTCTCGAGAGCTTACATTCCTTTAGGATTGCTCAGTGAGATGTGGAGTTCTAGGTTTCGGGTGAACTGAGGTCAAAACAGCTGGCAGGAGCTTGGAGAAGGAGAGGTGAGGGAGGTGACCCCAAGTGACACCCACTTTCCTTCCAAAAGATATGCTAAGTCACTGTACTGAGAGCTGGGGACCCCAGGGATAATAGGATGCCCTGTGCCCCTCCTCAGGACAGCCCAGGTGGTGGTAGCAGCCACCTGCGTGAGGACTAGGGCCGGGGCTGGCAAGACTTTCTTGGTGGTGGCATTAAGCTGAAGCTGGGCCTTCCAAGCAGCCAGGGCAGTTCAGACTGTGGGCTGAAGTAAGTGCAGGTGAATGGTGTGATGCTGACGGCAGGTGTGGACCTGTCAGGCCTCAGAGTGCTGGCAAGTGGCTGAACCCACACCCTACAACATGGCAATTCCACTCTGCATCTGTCCTGGGGGGACACCTTCATATGTACACAAGGATGCTTACTGCAGGTAATTGTTTACAGTGGAAAGTTAGGACCCACCTAGGTGTCCAGTGTTGGGGTACAGTAAATAACCAGGGCAGTGTCGTAGGTGGAATGTTATGTGTGCAGTGGTTACAAAGAACAGGCCAACAACACCCAGGTCTGACTATCTTGACAGAAAGATGTCAAAGGTACCCCATTGTCTGCAAAAAGCACCCATATAGAATGATATCTTTTATGTAAAAAGTTAAAACTGCAGAGCAGTGTTATGTATTTCCTATGGGCATATGTACATGGATGCAGAGAAAAGGCTTGGCAAGACTTGGACACAGGAGAGAGTGTGGACCGTTCTGGAATCTGGGGCCCAGGAGAACTTCTATGCAGGTGGTGAGGCAGGCAGTGAAGATCTGGGAATCCCATGAAAGGCTCAGGCCAGATCTGGGGTTGGAGGGGAGCCTTGACGAGTCCAAGTGAGAGAGTGACTCATCCATCTTTGGATGGTTAACTGGGGAAGCCTGGAGGGTAGATTGGATTTCAGAGGTCTGGCACAGGGCTCGCTAAGCAAGGTGTGATAAGGAAGGTGTGACAAAGCTGACCGAGCTGATCTGAGGGTCATTTACAGAGAGACTCTCCAAGACCAGGTGACTGACTGGATATGGGTGGGAGGGAGTGCTGACAGAGAGAGGGGTGTGAAGGTGACTCCTAGATCTGGAGCAAGCGATTAGAGAAGTGGAAGCTTTCACTTACTCAGCAGTGAACAAAGTCCGAAATCATCAGTGACTGAGCCAAAAGCTCCAGCTTCCACAATGGGAGTCAACACGGGAGGGAAGGAGGAGAAGGACGAGACAGAATGGGGCAAAGACTTCTCTTGCAATGTCATAATTACTAACAGAGAAAAAATCTGAACCTAAACACCAAGGAGAATGGATTGTATCACCTTCATTTATACTTTCACTCATTTATTCATTCAACAGATATTTTCTGGTGGGAAACGAAGTCCAGAGCCCCTTCGTTCTTCCTCGGGTGGAACCTGCTCCGGGGGACTCCCTTTCCCCTTCCCACCTTCTCAGGGAGCCCTGGGGCCCGACTCCCCTGGGATCTCGAGCCCAGGCTAGGGCTCCTTCCCGCAGTCTGGCTGCTGGAGTCACCAGCCAGCTGCAGACCCGCTTAGCTAACTCCTGCTGTCCTTAGCCCGGAGTTACTTTCCTGTTCAACAAGTAGCGGACGTTTCAGCACTAAAGGTCATGCCTGGCTGAGGCTTGGGCTTAAGGAGACCCCAGTGAACACAAGCTGGTTGATGTGGGAATCTATCTCCCCAGACACGCGGCTATGAGGAGGACCGCAGACGGGGTTAGGAGCCAGCCGCCTGGCTCTCCTCCCCAGGCTGTAGCCTGGCTTGTGGGGCTTCTGCCAGAGTTAGGTGAATGGAGAGGGAGAAGGGAGCCTGAGAAGTGAGGAAGGGTGAAGGTGGCAGAGAGAGGGGCACTCTGGCAGGGAGAGGGGCCAGGCTGGTGGGAAGCAAGTGTGGATGGAAATCTTCCTTTGGTAAAACCCCTGTTAAGTCAGAGCTGGTAGGGCCTTGGATCCCACTATCCAATTAGATGGTTTTCAAGCTTTTTTGGTAGCCACAGAGCCCCTTGATTAATAGAAGGCTTGCTTGGCACCCCAATTGATAGGCCAGGTCAGAGTGGTCCCATGGGGGAGGAGGGGGATGCCTGTCTGCTACACCCACTCTTCCGTGGCTCCCTCGGGCCTCCACACTGTCTGGAGTTCTGCACAACACAGCTGAGCTGATTCACATCAGGATCCTTCTTTCACAGATGAGGAAACTGAGTTCAGAGATTCTCAGCCATAGACAGAGTGGATGGCAGACCCAGCCCTCCAGACCTCTATCTCGTTCAAGCCTCTGTCGAGGCAGCCCCCCAACTCTGCAGTGCTCACCTCCACACTCATGATCCACGGGCAGTGAGCTGCATTCTCTGAAGATGACCCAGCTCCATATAGCCAGCAACCTGGGTCTCACACGGCCTCTTGCCTGCTCAAGTCCTATTCCCACTCCACATGCAGGACCCAGGGCCCTGGTGTAGGCTGAGAGGGGGACCAGATGCCCTTGGAGGATGCATGGGGCAGATGCCACCCCAAGGGTCAACGACACCCCAGAAAGGTCCCAGACAGCCTCAGGGACCAAGAGGAGCTGGCCCCCGGAACAGAAGACCAGAGGAGAGGGGTGCGGTAACTTGGGGGCCCCGCCTACCGTTCCTCTCTCAAACTTGTTGGTGCGGTTCTCTGACTTGCCCAGGTACCGCTCCCCCGTGTCCCCGAGGTCCCCATAGATGGTGATGTAGACCTTGGCGTCCGTCCCAGCCCCGGGAACGTTTCCTGTGAAGATCTGCACCGAGTACAGCACAACTGGGTGGGCAGTCGGACAGACACACAGACAAAGGGAAGAAAGGGACAGCATTGTTTAGTTTGGGGGACTGGATTTGTAGGCGGAGTCGAGCTTGTGGCCCAGCCCTCAAGGAGAACTCAGTGTCCTTTTTGTCTGCTCCATTATGCAGCTCTGCTACAAGTCCGGCTGGATTCAGCAGTGGGACGTTCGCCTCTAAGAGACCCAAGGGATGGAGACTTTTCCAGCATCCCTCAAAACACCCATCACCACCCCCAGGAAACTGCCTGCCACGCATGCACACCGTGGTCACTAAATGCACATGGCATGACACATTGACAAAAATGTGCCTTCCCGTTGGAGGGTGACCAGTATCAATGCCAAATCCTTCTAAACAGTTTATGGGAAAAAAATTAAGTATATTTAAAAGAATAGCTTCCCCTCAGTGTCTCTTCCCTTATTTGCATTTCCTCTTCAACCAACCTGCCCCAGTGTTCCAGGGAACCACCCCCCACCAAAGCTGCAATCACTGTCACCTACTCTTTGGTCTCCCACGGCCTTTGGAAAGGGCTCAAAAAATACTTGGTGTGACAGTTATTACAGATTATTAAGGAAAATAAAACCAAACACTGTCTTGTTTTTGTTTTGCTGCTAAGCATTCATCAGGGAAGAATAAAGTAGTCACTCACACAAGCCCCCACCCTGGGTGGGGGGAAGACACATCTGTTTCTATGATGGCTAAGCATTTTGTGTCCCCTCTCCACAGTCCTTTGTGCCAGGAGCTTTGGAGTTTCAGGCCAAGGAAGAGGGGACTTAGCTGGATTATCCCCAAGGGGAAGGATGGAAGTTGTGGCTTTGAGGTGAAGGTGAAAATGGCCCAACTGGGAAGAAGTTCAGTTTCCCCAGCCTGGGAGCAGGTGTGGGTTCGAGAGTGCCTATGGTGGTAGGAATTCCCTACCTGCCCACAGGGACCCAAGGAGACAGCTGCCAAGCCTGTCTGAAGCCTTGAAGCAAGGAGGCCTCCAGGGTGAAGACAGGGTCTTTTGACAAAGCCGGGCTCCCTGGAGAAGCCTTTCTGGCCACCCAGAGAAATGAAACCTGTGTGCTGGCTCACAGCCAGCAGCCACAGTCTCACCAGACAGCAGGAGGCCACAAGTAAAGGTTGTTCTCACTCTGAACTGAAGGCCAGGTCCCTGCTGTGAGCCTTAGGATTTTTATAAGACCCTATAAAAGGGGATGCCCCCTCCCTGCAGTGATTGAGATGGACTTTCTTACCAGCCCATGCAAGTGGGCTCAGAACCACATGTAACTAAATGCAGGAGAGTCAGGTGATGTAAGCTGCTCTACCCGTGGGTATGGAACACACTCACACCCACAAGATGGTTCCTATTATCCTCATTTTCCCTTGGATCTGTAGCGTTATTCTTCCCTGCTCCTCTTCTGCCTCTCTCTGCTCCTTGAGCAGCCTTATAGGTTCCTAAACATCTGCCTTGCCCTAGATGCCCATGTCTTCCAGTTCTGCTTCCCACAGCTCTTGCCTGTGAGTTCCACAGGCTGTATCTCCAGCCCAGGTCCCTTCTGTGCTCTGAACCCACATCCCTGTGTCCACCTGGACTGGACCACAGGCCACAAGCTCACATCCAGTCCTGAACTCCACCCCTTTCCCATCCTCCCATCTCCATCTCTCCACCCCACCCAGCATCTGCTGGCCACACCTCCTTGGTGCACCAGGAGATCTGCTTCTGAAGGCTTGTCCCCTCTGCGAGCAGGATCCAGCACTGGCCACACTTGAACCCTGGCCCCGCAGCCCCCACCTTGCTCAACTCAGCACAGAATCCAGCCAGAATTTCACATACACATTAATAACATCTTCTTTTGTCTAAAGGAGTCAACATAACCCACACCTGGCTGGCTGATATGACATGAGGTAACACCAGGAATCTTGCCGGAGTTTGGACACAGCAGTCGACTGTCCCCACCCTCCTCACTTGTCCTCCGCATCTGTTTCCTGGTTGTTCATTCAGACCTGCTCCACACCTGGGCGGGACCTTTTCAAAGGCGGCCCTTGTCCCAGAGAGGAGTGTGATGTCCCCAGGGCTGTGATTTAAATGGACTTCCTGCCCCTCACTGCTCTCTCCAGTGCTTTTGGGAATTAGCAAAACCGACTCAGCTTCTGGGTGCTGAGCAGTGCGGTCGTGCAGTCAAATCCTGCTATTTCCGGATCCTCCTCCCTCCCCATCCCACCAAGGCCACCCAGCTCTCCGTGAAAAGATGTTTCCCTAGAAACACCACCCAGCGCAGAGGGGTTCGTGGCATGCTGTTAACGCAGAACAGCCAAGGGTGCCGTGAGGACAGCTTTCCAGCGTGTCCTCTGGGATCCAAGTAGAAAAGCGAATGATCCCCCAGATTCAAACTAAAACACATTCAGAGAAAGGGATGTGGGTAGGGAAAGGCATGTCATTGAGGTAACACTTGTTTTTATGTCTAAGCAAGTGGCAACTCAGATGAAAAGAAATGTCACAGCTACAGCAGGGGCTCAGTTTAGGTTGAGGTCTGAGCCTGGAGCAATGCCACCCAGTAAGGGAAGGGAGAAGAGCACTCAGAGACCAGTCAGAGAGGTAAGAAGATGTTTGGAGAGAGTCACATGGAAATTTACATTAGCATATGTAAAATAGATAGCCCATGGAAATTTGCTGTTTGACGGGGGAACTCAAACAGGAGCTCTGTAACAGCCTAGAGGGGTGGGATGGGGAGGGAGGTGGAAGTGAGATTCGGGAGGGAGGGTCATGTGGATGCCTATGGCTGATTCGTGTTGATATTTGGCAGAGAACAACAAAATTCTGTAAAACAATTATCCTTCCATTAAAAAAACAAATAAATAAAGGAAAGAAAATGGTGGTTCCAAAGCAAAGGAAAGTGTGTGCTCAGGCTGGTGCAAATTCTGCAGGAAAGAGCCTCATCAATGAGGAAAAGGTGGCTGGCACACACAGAAAAGAAACCCATGGCCTTGGACGCTGAAGCTACACCCAGCCCCGGAGAACAAACACCAGAGTTACAGTTCCGTACAAAGCCGGGAAGCTATCTGATTCACACTAGGTAGGGACAGCTGGATCCAGCAAGAGCAGAGAGGACCAAGTCCCGCAGATTAGAAGCCAAATTAACTAAGCTAAGGGAGAGAACGAGAACCAGTTGTGTCCAGCCACAGGAGAGCACATACGTGGATGTTTGCTCACACTGTCAGACCAGGGGAGGGTTTGAGCACAAGACTCAGGGTGAGGGCGCTGCGACTTTGAAGAACAGCCGTGCCATTTATTAGCTGAGTGAACAATGGGGGTTGTGTAACCTCTGTGAGCCTCAGTTGCCCTCGCTATGGAGTGAAGGTAATTACAGACTCTGCCTCCGAGGTGCAAAGGCTCCGCCCCGCACAGGGCAAGTGTCCAACGAGCGGGGGTTCTGCCGATGGTGATGAGGGCTATCGCCCCACACTTACTGTCCAGAGGCTCCTCCACTTCCTTGTAGACTTGCCTTAAAGACCCATCTCTCATGTATTTCTCCGTGAAGATGTCATAAGGGACCAGTTCTCGAATGGTCTTCTTGTCATCCTCCGAAGTCGCAAGCCATCGATCACAAGGGAAAGTCAAGGTCTCTGTACCCTGGGGTGAGGAGAAAGGAGGAAACTGAGCCCTTCATGTGGAAACTGCCAACTTCAGTCATTCATCACCCGGATCAACACTCACGGGGACCAAGCCCGAGGGTGATGGAGCCCCGCTGATAATGCTAAAGCCCCAGGGGAGGCCCCCAGCCCTGCCCCAATTCCAGCAGATCCAGTCTTACTTAAAGCACTTCTGAACCATGTCAGGGGGAGGCTCTGGAAGGTGGAATTCCCCAGGTCACTTGAAAATGGATACCCAAACCCCATCCCACAGAGTAAGACTCAGCTGGCCGTCGGAGGAGAATCTGTATTTTAAACTTCTCCCAGCTCACTCATACCACAGCCATGACTGACCGCTGCCTCCTAGCTTTAGAATTCTGTGGTTTCAGGAATGTTTTCCAAGTTGTGTGGATGGCTTTCTTTCTCTAAGTTGACCTTGAGTTGCAGGAAGGACACACTTGGTCACTCACTAGTAGCATGGCTTTGGGGGTGAGGAGCAGAGACACGGCTGCCCAGACCCTTCTTCTTGAAGGTTTTAAAAGATTGTGCCTTGGGCCTGCTTTAGTTCCAGCACTTGGCGTGAACTAGCTGAATTTTCCTTAGATGATTTTTATCTCAACTTAAAAAGGCTACAGTTTCTTATAAGAAATCTGACTTGAATCTCTTCTGAAAAACGACAAAAGAAACAGCAGGACAGACCAGTCAGAAACTCACATCTTTATCTGGGAGGAGCCTGCGGATGTCCACGTGGGAGCAGTGCCAGCCAGGATTCATGCCTGTATTATCGTGGCCAATCCGGATTTTTTCAATGATTTCTCCCACGTCTTCTAACTTGGGGAAGGAGAAAACACACCAGATGTAGGCTGAACAGTCCAGGAAAGTACAACCTCAGCAGAACCCTGCCTCCCGAGGGCATCTACCTTAGAATCCCTTTGAACTTCCAGGGGTCACTTTCTCCCAGTCAGTCCCTCCTGTTCGGTCAAACCAGCCCCTGCTTTCCCTTCATTACACACACTGTGCTGACACCTCCCTTCCTCTCCCCGACTTAACACCAGCCTAGACTCCAGAACTCAGTTCAATCAAGCTCTGGGAGGGTGTTCCCCCTTTTCATGGTGGAGCCCAGCCCCCAGTCTTCTGTTACTAGCAGAGGCTTGAGGCCTGAAGATGCGTTCTGGTTCTGCCCAAGCCCTGTCTTGCTAGTCTGACCTTCTCCTAGGCCCCTAAGGGCTGCTTCCATCTCCAGCCACTTCTCTTCTGTGTCAAATTCCAGTCCCTCAAGCCTGACATTTTCTTGCCACAGGGCCTCTGCATCAGCTTTGCCTGCCCCTTCCCTTCTTCTTTACCTAAACTGGCGTTTGCCCAACCTCATTATTCAGGTCTCACTCAGCTCAAGGATATTTACTCAGGGAAAGCCCCTGATCACCTTGGTGGTTTAGTCACTAAGTCACGTCCAACTCTTGCAACCCCACAGACTGTAGCCTGTCAGGCTCCTCTATCCACGGGATTCTCCAGGCAAGAATACTGGAGTGGGTTGCCATTTCCTTCTTCAGGAGATCTTCCGGACCCAGGAATTGAACCTGGGTCTCCTGCACTGCAGGCAGATTCTTTATCAACTGAGCTATGAGGACCTGATCACCTTAAAAAGCTCAAATCTCTTCATGATAGGGTCTGACGGCATCCTATCTCACACACACACACACACACACACACACACACACACACACACACACACCAGCACTCCTCACAGTCAGAAGTTTGCATTTACTTGTGTGAAACCTTCTCCTCCATCACTGAAAGTCACAAGGGCAGGCACCACATCTGTTTTGCTCATCACGGCATCCCCAAAACCCAGAACAGAGCCCTTGACCTCGGTACTCAATACCTAATGGCAGAAAGGATGAAAGACTGCTTCCTCATCTGAGAAATGAGTGTGACAAAGTCAGCTGGGCTCTCTCACACCTCAGCCACCAAGGTGTGCATGAAAGAGCGATCCGTGCAGACGTGGTGAGTCCCTGAAATTCAGGAGGTGCCATCTCTCATCTCTCCTGCCTGGAGCCTATGGGCACACAGTGCCAGAGTGGGACTCAGCTAGGAGTGACTGACTTCCAGATCCTTTCCTCGGAGCCTTCGAAAGAAGCAGCAAGGTGGCCAGACACAAGGCAAGGCATCCACAGAGTTGGCACCTGCCTCCTTGGCTCTCTCTGTCAGGCTGCCCTCCACCAGATCCCACTCTAGGGCCTCTGGGAGCCTCGGGGGCCTCTCCCACGTCTCATGTGTCATGTTTTCCCCTGAAATGGTGCTGTATGTGTCAGTTCGTACCCTGCCTCATCCCTATGGGGATCTGGGCAATCACAGGTGGAAACAGACAAGGAAGTCGGGGTAAAGGGAAGAGGGCCGGGAAACATAGTAATACCCAGATGCCCTGGCTCATGCTTGGTCCATGCAACTCATGCCTTTGGCGTTGACAGGTCGAGGTTAAGGAGGGTGTGCAGACTTGAGCTTCCTGGCAGCCCCTCTGCAGCGCTTTCTGCCTGGCCTGCTCCATCAAGGACTCAGTGCTACAAGAAGATGGCACAGTCAGCTCCAGGGTGGATGAAGACTCCTGATGAGTGAATGGCATCTGAATGAGTGATTGAGCCATTCACCAAACATGGAGCCTCTATAAGCCTAGACACATGTGACCTGGGGATGAACTAGAAGAGCTCCCAGCACTGCACACCCTCCACACACACACACACACACACCCACTATTGACAGCCACGGGCAAGCCCATCAGCACCGCTTGAGGAATGTCCACCTGCTCCCACCCACCTCCATCCTTCCCAGCTGTAGTGCTACAAGCTGCATGATCTAGACAAGTCTCTTGACCTTCTAGGCCTTAACTGCCTCATCTATCAAATGGGGAGATTGCTCAGCCGAAGGCAGGGACATGGGCAGGACAACCCTTCAAGGTCACTTCTGTGTCTAAGATAACAGACGTGCTTCTTTTTGTCAACAATTCTCTCCTTCCAAGTGACCAATATGGTGTCACTTTGCCGGAGACACCTTGAGTTAACAAACTCCCCACCAGCCAGCTCACCCACACTTCATCAGAGATGTGGTGTCCCCTACGAGCTCCTGGACTTTCTGAATCATTAAACAGAGACCAGTGAATGCACGGGGCCTCACCCTTTCACAATAGGAGAAACAGGAAGCTCCGGGCGAGATCGTGACTTACAGGATCTGCACTCAAGGACACTGAGCTGCCAGGTAGCTGGCAAAGGGGGACAATGACACCATCTGACTCTTGGAATGGTGATGAGGATTAAGTGAGGTGATACACCCCCAGTGCCAAGAACAAGGCTGGCACATGGGGAGTGCCCAGTAAATATTAGCTATTGTTATTTTCCCAGCAGATCCGTATGTCTGAGGATGAGGCCACAGAGAGGGTGGGCTTGCTCCTGATTCAGAGGCTGAGCAGAGCTAGAATCCAGGGTTATGGGCTCACTTGCAGTCCAGCACTCCTCCTCTCACCTGAAGATCAGTGGGAAACGAGAAACAGAGAGATGGGGACACAAAGCGAGCTCATTTGTGTCTAAGTTCTCATACTCCCCCCAACACCCAGGTAGATTTGGAAAGAAAAAAAAAATTGCAACAAATTACTGGCAAATTATAGCTGCCTATTAGGCAGACTTCAATGATGGAACTTCCCGGAAGCCAAGGTGTGATCACACTCAGGCCTCTGACAGCATCCGGCTGGGATGACGCATGCACCGGGACATCTCCGTGGGTGAGATGCTGCTTCGTGTGGGTAGATGAATCACCCTTGAATTCTCCATGTTAAAAAATCTCCACCAAGGTGGCAACCTTCCCACAAGTGCTGACTGTTCCTGGAGAGGGTGGGGAGGGGAAAGGGAGTTCCCCGGGGCAGATGCAATCCGAGGAAGCAAGATGGGGCTCTGTGCTTTGTCTCCCACCAGAAAATAAGGGGCACATCTCCCAAGGTCCCTACCACCTGGAGAGCCCAAGCCCCTACCCCTTGTCCTTCAGAGTCATTCCCTTTAAATCCTGTTCCACACATCCTATAGCCAAGTTACATCACTCTCCTATCCCCTCTTGTCAAACTTCAAGCCACACGCTGTGTTCCCTTCCACCTCTGGCCCTCGGCCATGATGTCCCCCTTGCTAGGAAGTCCTTCCCTCCTTGGTCCCTCATATGCCCACTTTCAGGTCCAGCTCAAAGCTACCACTTCCAGGGAGTCCTCTCTGGTCTCTGAATACCTACAGCACACTCAGCCAGCCCCACCATTTGCTCTCATAGGCTAGTGGACAGCAGGGGCTAAGGGCACATATTCTGAGCCAGTCCTTCTGGCTTTGAGTCCTGCTTCCACTCTGCCTTGGCTGTGTGATTTCATGGAAGCTACTAAACTCTCTGTGCCTTGGTTTCCCCATACTTAAGCATGGATAATCACAGTGCAGAGTTGCTCCCAGGGCTAAGTGACCCTATGACAGCGCCTTCTTACCCCCAGGAGCAGCTATGATGATGATCACCAGACCCTCTCCTTAGCCTCGTGTGAGATCTGGGCTTCCCCAGTCGGACCGCAAGCCCCTTGCAGGCATGGTCTGGGTCCTCTGCTTCCCTGGTCTCTCCCACCCCACCTGGCACAGAGTGGGGTGCACAAGGAGGCACGGGATGGGTGTACAGAATACCCAGGTGTGGACGCGGTGACATACATCCACAATAAGCATCGAACAGCAAAACTCTCAGGCTGGAGCCGAGGGGGAACCAAGGAATACATGGGATGCTCTTTTGTATTGGCTGTAGCTTGACAGGTAAGCAGGAGACAATAATGTGATGAGGAAGTCTGGAAGCCAGCTCTCTCTGTGGCTCTGCTGTTGGTGGCACTGGAGATGGCCCCAGTGGAATTGTGCTTCTAGCTTCCTTAAACCCTGTCCACTCATTATCACCTTTGACTCAGACACTGGTCCTGGAGAGGGAGGGTCACTGTCCTCCTGGCTCCTCAGATGTACTGAGGTTCAGAGAGCTTGGATGAACTGCCATCTCCCTCACTCACAACACCCCATCAGATGAAAGACACATGCCAGACTCTGGACAAGGGCTCCATCTCCTTGCCTTCTGGTCCAGCCTGCACCCCTGTCTTGGCTCCCCTGGAAGCCTGCTGGATGCCAGTACCTCCATTATGAAGCGGGAGGCGGACTTCCTCTCAAAGAACAGCTTCTGTTCCCTCTTGTTGGTGCACAGGTACTTCTGCTGGGTGCACACGGCATCGCAGCCATAGATGACGATGAAGATGTTGGCGTCTGTCCCAGCAGCAAAGACATCACTGGTGTAGAGGGTGATTTCGTAAGGGACAACTGAGGGGAGGGGACAGAGGGCAAAGTCAGAGGGGAAGTGAAAACAGGAAACAAATGCAGGCAGGTCAAGTTCTTCACCAGCACCACCACTCTGGATCTGTCCCTTCACTGCTAGCTGCTACCCAGGTGCCTGAACCTTCATGTGGTTGCCTAGCAACCCAGGGTGGAGGGAGGTATCCCAACATGCCTAGTGTCCATCAAAAACCGCTGTCACCTTAGACTAGGGTCTCCATGCCTCTCCCATCACAGAGCTAGTACAACAGATTGGGTGAAAGCACAGACTCTGTTTAGCCTGACTGTGACCTGTGCAAGTCACCTTGGGGAGCCTTGGTTTCCTTACTTGTTACAGCATCCTCAGTGCAGTCCTTGGTGCAGACATCCTATACACTGGAGCATTATGTTTCAGGGTACAACTGCCAGTCAGATCAGCCAGTCTACAGTGGTGAGAGTCCTTTCTCTTCTCTTCTCATCCCTTCTACCACTCATCCACTGGCTCCACACTGCCCTGCCCCTCCCCGGCAACACAGACTTTCAGATGATGATAGAGGAAGCGAAGTGTCAAAAATTCACCTAATTGTCCCACTTTCTCCTTTTCTCTAGCTGAGAAAGGAATTACATTTAGCTTCTTTTCAAGTTTTTCACACACACCCCCCCCCCCCATCAAGATCAAATCTTACAACAGTGATTTCTTGGGTGTGTTAATGACTGGAGTGAGGACTGGTTAAGGGGTTGATAATGACCCTTCACTGTTAACCTTTGGAGAAGGAAATGGCAACCCAGTCCAGTACTTTCGCCTGGGAAATCCCATGGACAGAGGAGACTGCAGGCTACAGTCCATGGGGTTGCAAAGAGTCGGACACGACTGAGCAACAACAAAACAACAAGTGTTAGCCCTTATCTTTTCTCCTTTTTGGGTCTTACAGCCACCCTACACTATTATCTCTATTTTGCAGACAAGGAAACTGAACTCCAGAGAAGTCAGTTTCTCTGCCTGTTGTCATCAGCTAGTTTGGAGTAGAAATACATCCTGTATTTCCTTTCCCTTGATCTAGAGCTCTGTCCACAGCAAGCACAGGGCCCGGGGAATTCCCAAAGTGGGCCTGGCCACGGGTCAACCCCAGATGAGGGACTGGGAGTTGGCAGGTGGATGAAGAGGTCTCGGAGAGAGGCCCAGCCTTGCCCTGCAGGACTCCTACATGGTGTGTACCGCCTTGTCTGAAGCTCCGCGTGGAAAAGGTCCCTGACGATGGTGCCGTCATCTTCATTCTTGGCCAACCAGCGGCCACAGGGGAACGTCATGCACTTTCCAAGGGATGGGGCGTCCACCTCTACCCAGTCTACAAACCAGCCTGGAGCCTTGCCTGGAGGGAAGGAGACACAGAACTCCTCAAGGATCTCTGCACAGAGGCTTCCTGTATACAACTCCAGGGACTCCAAGCATCCTTCCCTAGCCATAGGCACCAGCGTGGACTCATCATCCCTTTTGCTTACAGCAGTGTGGACTGATTCCTGTGTACCCTACCGGATCCTACTCTGGGCTGCTGTCAGTGAAATGAACAAGAGCGAAGGGACATGGGGAAGAGATGACAGGAGGCAGAGTCTGAGAGGAGGGAAGCAAAGAACCGTCCAGGGTGGAAGGTATTCCAAAAAGGGAACCCAGATCCCAGAGAGAGCCTATGTTAACGAGGACTCCACACTTTCATCCAGTGGCAGGGTGACATGCTGGGCTCCCTGGCCTCAGTTTATGATGCATGAAGGGAAGGGAAGCCAGTGAAGGACTGATGCTTCTCCCTGGGAAAATGAGTGATCAGGTTTAAAGAAGGAAATGGAAGCCAGTCAGGCAGAGACTTTGTCCCTCAGTCCCAGAGGCAAGGAGAAAGGCCTCCTTCTTCAGGCTCACAGGATATGGTTTGAAGACCAAGAAAATGAGTCCTGCTTTACTGAGAGAACAAACTTGGACATGGTATTAGGGGGTTCTGGGAAGAACTGGCTCCATCCGTGGTTCTAAGTGGAGCCCCCAGAACAACAGCCTCAGCATCACCTGCGAGATATAAAAACTCTTGGGGTCCCATCCCAGACCTACTAAATCAAAGACTGGCTGCACACCGAAATTTCTGACTGTGGGGTTTGGGGAGAAAGCTTTAAAAATCAGCAGTGTCCGGGCCCTACGCTGATCAATTAGACTAGAATCTCTGTGCGCAGCCGTGAAGGGACTGAGGAAGCTATGTCATTATGGAAAGCAGATGACATCCAAGTCTACCCTAGATTCTTTCCTAGTCGCCCATGGGGACCTGCCCATGGTCCTCATGTTCTTAGCCAGGAACAGAAGGGAGGGAAGCCAGACCTGTGTTGTCATGACCGATCCTGACTTTCCACAGATCTCCCAGGTCCAGGGTCTCCACTGTGAAGATTTCGATACTATCCCTCTCAAACTTGTCGCTGTTGGTCTTGGAGGACTTCAGGAGGGTCATTCCTGCAACCAAATGGCCCCAACATGACTGGCTAGGCCTGAGGCCTTGAAACCTAGTCTAACTACCCCTCTTAGTCTCTTCTCCTAATGAGCAAATTTCTGAACTTCTATCAAATTTAGATTATACAGATACAATCCATGGGGCATTTTGGGCATTTTGTATGTGTGTGTGTATGTATATCCTCTTATGGAGCTTTGCAATAACCCTTTGACATATGTATTTTTATTACCAGTTTTGCTGAAGAAAAGGAGACACAACCACAAATTAAGGGCCTTATCCAAGATCACCGGGGAGAAAGCGTTAGGACCCTAAGACACACCCCTCAGGTTTCTCCACGTGGGGAGGGAGCCATCCTCCCATGTTCCCTGGAGTGGGGAAATAGGGGCATCCCTACAGGATGGGGCATGTGGCAATTCTCTGGAGCCCCTTCTCTGGATGACAGAAGGAGGGTTGGATTCCAGGGCCCTTCACCTGCCACTTCACATACATGCTCTGTCCTAGGGCTCTGACTGCAGTGTCGGTCTGAAATTTAAGGTGGTCCCAGGGTCATCACCATCCCCTCCTGCCTCAGCCTTCAAGTCTCCTTATCCCTGTAAGTCCTGCCTCATGTAGGAAGTCTTTTGATAATCACAGACTTATTGCAAATGATTTAAGTGCACAAAGAATCAGACAGACCTTGGTTACTGTCTGAGTGGCCTTGGGCAAATTACCTAATTCTCTGAGATCTGGTTTCCTCAAATGTCAAAAGGGGTGGCTTTGGTGCCTTTCCCATAGAGAAGTTGTGACTATTTAATAAGATGATGACTGTTGAGTGTTAAAAAATGTGCCAAACACATAGAAATCCCTTGGCAAATAAAAGCACTCTATTAGGCCCCCTCAATTTCATTGACCATGGTTCAGTAACTATTGCAGTGACATACATTTGTAAGTTTCAACCTGATTCATTCATTATATTTGCATTATTTAACTTATTAAGTAATAATAATACTAATAATAAATGCTTTATTGTCGTTTTGTCTCAAATATTTTACATGTTCAATTTCATTAAATCCACAACTCTGGGGGTATCTACTAGTTTAATCTCCATTTTACAAAAGTGCGTGTGTGTGCTCAGTCATATCCAACTCTTTGTGACCCCATGGGCTATACTTCACCAGGCTCCTTTGTCCGTGAAATTTTCCAGGCAAGAATTCTGTGGTGGGTTGCCGTTTCCTACTCCAGGGAATCTTCCCAACCCAGGGATCAAACCCATGTCTCTTGTGCCTCCTGCACTGATAGGCAGATTCTTTACCAAATGCGCCATCAGAATATGTTACAAATGGTGGAAACTAAAGCAAAGAGAGATTATGCGCCTTTCCCAAGGTCATGCAGCTAGTAGTGGTGTAGGAGAAATTTAAACCAATTAGTCAAGCTCGAGTACACACAACTGAATTAGAAGATGAGCATCTCAAGGTCAGTGATTACAAAGTCAGGGATCACCCCTTCATTCTGCAGCAATGCTTGGAATAGAGCTTTAGGGGTAATGAGAAAATATGTGATGACTACATATTTGAGGAACTGGTTCCTCTCTGACCTCAGAATGGCTGGACAGGTGGCCCAAGTGGACAGCTGACTCCAGTGCATATGCCACCTTCTGTGATGGCTTTGACAGAGGCTCCAGAATGACTCCAAGATTCCCTGAGCATCTCATATCAAGAGTACCACGGAACCCACTGGCTGAATCTTATTGGAGATTGGGAAGAGCCACCATTTCCCAGGTTGTTATTGAGATAGAGTTAGAGTTACCTCTGCATTTATTTTATTTTATTTGGTCTTTATCTTTCTGGCTTACTTCACTCTGTATGATGGGCTCCAGTTTCATCCACCTCATTAGAACTGATTCAAATGAATTCTTTTTAATGGCTGAGTAATATTCCATAGTAAAAATATGGAATGCTTCACAAATTTGCGTGTCACCCTTGTGCAGGGGCCATGCTAATCTTCTCTGTATTGTTCCAATTTTAGTATATGTGCTGCTGAAGTGAGCACTACCTCTGCATTTAGAATAGAAGGGGAAAGCTGGCAAAAGACACAGAGCAGAGATTTCTCACTGTGTGAACTGAGGAGCTCCTTCACTATAGTTTTGAAAGGCCACCATAGTGATGCCTCAAAGAAGGGTGCAGGAAATGGTAAAAAAAAAAAAAAAAAAAAAAAAAAAACAAACAAAAAAAACACCTTTCAGGAAGGCTGGACAAAGACTTGGGCACCATTACCTGGGGAGATGATGCTGCAGGGAAGATGATTCTCACAGCTTCCAAACACTTGTAGGGTGTAGAGGCAGCAATGAGGGCCGAGAGAGGACTTAGAAGGATATAAAAAGAAATTTTTTTAAAGAATAAGGAATTGCCTCTCTCTGTTGGGGTCAGTTGCATGTAATCGTTCAAGAGTCAGAGGCATGCAAGTGTACAAAATAGGGACAGGAAAGCCCCTCCAATCAGTGGTGCTGGGAAAATGGATGTCTACAGTAAAATAATTCATTTGGACCCTTCTCTCACATCATACACAAAAATCAGCTCAAAATGGATTACAAATTTAAATGTAAGACCTGAAACTGTAAAACTCCTAGAAAAAAAACCTAAGGAAAACACTTGATGACATTGGTCTTGGTAATGATTTCATGAATATGATACCAAAACCACAGGCAAGAAAACTAAAATTAACAAGTGGGATTATATTAAACTAAAAGCACAGCAAAAGAAACAGAATTCTGTAGAATGGGAAAACATATTTGCAAACCGTATATCTATAAGGGGTTAATCACCAAGATATATAAAGAAATATATGACTCAATAACAAAGAAAATCTAATAACCCAATTAAAAATGGGCTAAAGACTTAAATAGACATTTCTCCAGAGAAGACATAAAAATGGTCAATAATATATGAAAAAAGTATTCATTGTTACTAATTATTCAGTTCAGTTCAGTCACTCAGTTGACTCTTTTGACCCCATGAATCACGGCACGCCAGGCCTCCCTGTCCATCACCAGCTCCAGGAGTTTACTCAAACTCATGCCCATCGAGTCAGTGATGCCATCCAGCCATCTCATCCTCTGTCATCCCCTTCTCCTCCTGCCCCCAATCCCTCCCAGCTAATTATTAGGGAAACGCAAACCCAAACTACAATGAGATACCATCTCATACCTGTCAGGAGGTTACAAAAAAAAAACCAAAAAATGAAAGACAACAAGTGTTGGTGAGGATGTAGAGAACCTGGAACCCTTACGCACAGTGGGTAGGAATCTAAAATGATGCAGTTGCTCTGGAAAATAGTATGAAAGTTCCTCAAAAAGTTGAAAATATAGCTACCATAAGAACCTGCCGTCTCACTTCTGGGTATATATCGAAAAGAATGAAATCGGGTTATTGAAAAGATATTAGCACTTCTATATTTGCTGCAGCACTATTCACAATAGCTAAGACATGGGATAAAAATCCTAAATGTCCATTGACAGATGAATGGATAAAGAAGATATGGTATATACATGTAAAGGAATATTACTCAGCCTTGTAAACTGAGATTCTCCAATATGCAACAATGTGGATGGCTCTTGAGGATATTACGCTAAGTGAGGTAAGCCAGGCACAGAAAGACTAATACAGCATGACTCGACTGAAATGAGATATCAAGGTCAAATTCATAAAAACAAGATTGGATTGGTAGTTACCAGAAGCAAGGCAAAGGAGGAAATAGGGAGTTATTAATCAATAGGCATAAAGTTTCAGTTTAGTAAGATGAACAATCTCTAGAAATCTGTTGTACACCATGAACCAATAGTCAACAATAATGTACATTTAAAATTTGGTAGGAAAACAGATTGCATGTTAAGTATTCTTCCCACAATACAATAAAACAGTAAAGAAAATTTTTAAAATGATTTCTTAAAAAAGAAAGTGAGAGACATGACCAGGATATCTTTGGAAATTTCCACTGTCTCTTCCAGTCTCCCTCGAGAGGAACATGGGTGAATGTGGCCTTGCATTGCTCTCTTACCAGTGTCATCTTGAGTGCCAAAGAGTGTGATGAAGACATTGGCATCAGTGCCAGCGTTCTTCTTGTCCCCAGTCTTTATGGTCACTGAAAATGTGGTAGATTTATCTGCCAGGAGAAGAGTATGCAGAAGTGAGTGGTAGATTGCACCTCCCATGAAGGGAGGAGGGAGACAACATATTAAGCACGTTTCTCTGCTTAGGTTGACTGTTTCTATGAGTCACTTTCCTTGCAGTATGTGTTGTTCTGTAGTTGCCTTTAATCTGGAAACTTCCAGAAGGCAGAGATGAGGCTCGCCACCCCTATTTCCAGCTCACACAGGAAACTCTCAACCAATAAAGTGTAGGAAGCTTAAGGAAGATTTGGGGTGACTGTGAAGTTCAAAGGTTCATCAGCCGGGAACCCCGGTCTGACTCCTCCAGGTTGGGAAGTTTGAGGGATGCGAGTTTCAAGGAAGGGAGCACAAGCATCACAGGAATCGTGAAAATTCATTCTTCCCCTTGACAAAAATATTCACATTGGGAGTCTATAACGAGCCTGGAGGGGAGGACACAAGACTAAGTCAAAACCAGCTGTAACTATTCGGTTCTATTCCATTCCATTCTTGACAATAACTCCATGCTAAGCCATGTACGTTACAGCCAGCCATATGCTAGACATGTGAGAACACGCCCCTGTCTCCTCCCCATTCTTGCTATGGAAGACTGAGAGGGCAGCACTGCTGGATTCCCAGAGAAGGAAATGCTCAGAGTCCAGAGTGGAGAGGAAGATGGAGACCTAGTTGGGGAGAGACAGAGGAGAGGGGTGCCCGGGGGGAGAAATCAGCTCTAGTCTAGGAAACCTTTCTGCTCCAGGGCCAGGCTGTCGAGGGGGGTGCTGTCACCACCTCCCCCGCCCTCCTCCGCGCTTGGTGGCAGCACATAGGACTCGTCCGCTGGCAGCAGCTCCCTGGACAGCTGGCCATCGTCCTCCTCCACGGCCAGCCAGCGCTGGCAGGGAAAGTAGTACCTGTGAGGGAGGGGAATGGGGAGATTTGGGAATGTCTCTTTGAGAAGGTCTCATGAAAGAGCAGTCATGGCTGAGACACGAGAGGCCCTCATGGGGCCCAAACGCTCCCCTGTCTGTCCCACCCCCCAGCACCGCCCTCCCATCCTACCTAGGCTTGGAATCACCCCACTAGTTGCTGGCCTGGTGGTGGTTTAGCCGCTAAGTCGTGTCCAACTCTTGTGACCCCACGGACTGTAGCCTGCCCGGCTCCTCTGTCTATGGGATCTCCCGGGCAAGAATACGGGGTGGGTTGCCATTTCCTTCTCCAGGGGATCTTCCCAGCCCAGGGATCGAACTCAGCTCTCCTGCTTTGCAGGCAGATTCTTTACCAATTGAGCTACGAGGGAATCCAGTTTGCCTGGAAGTCTATGCTTGCCTGGAGTAGACAACAAATATGGGATGTGGTTTCCATACACCCCATGGAAACAGGCTGTGTTAGCAGTGCCTGGAATCAGGGTTACATAGGAGGAATCTAGAGAAAGAGGTGTTTCTGGGGATTGTTTTGGCCTTTTCTAGAATCAATCTATTAGCCAGAGTCACTTTGGCAGAGAATATTGTACGTAGGAGGTGCTTCATACATAAGGGGTTGAAATGGAATGACCCACTTAAGCTTCTGGAAGATACAAAGAGTATGACCTTTAAGGAGCTGGCAAAGCAGACAGCAGACACCATCCAGGGAAGGCAGGCCCAAGTTAGATTCCCCATCGGAGAGGCTGAACCCAGGGCAAGGCAGGAGCCAGGTTGGAAGGGAAGACAGGATGAGGGCCAGGAGAAGCAGCAGAGAGTGGGGACTAAGGACTCGTCTCTAGATCCAGACTGGGTTTGAATCCTGGCTCTGCTACCTACAGTCCTGTGAGACTGAACAAATTTCTTTACAACTCTTTCTGCAAGGGTTGCCAGATTTAGCGTGCAGAATCACAGGACTCCCAGTTAAATTGGAATTTTAGATAAGCAAGGAATAATATTTGGGACACACTTATACTAAAATATTATTCTTTGCTTATCTGACTTTCAAATTTAAGCGGCCATTCTACATTTTATCTGGCAACCCTCTATAGAATGAGGATAATGCTGCCTATTTCAAAGGCAGTGGTGAGAATTACATGAATTAAACATTTTTAAGTGCTTAAATTGCCTGGCTCTTGGTAAATTCTTGGTTAAAAATTCACTAATACTTTGGTAGTGGTGATGATGATGATGGTGATGGTGATACTTCCTTTCTTTGTCTTCAGCCCAAGCCTGGGATTTTTGGAGGCCATGGGCTGGACAGTTCACCGTTGGGCCCCTGGGCTCCCAGAACAACTCAGAGGGTTTGGGGACAGACCATCTCTAAGTTGGAGCTGCTGCACCCCATCCCTACTGCCGTCCAGGTGCATAAGATGTATTCAGAGATGGGTCAAAGTCTGGAGATGCTGGGAACAGTGCAGACCGAGGGTCTCATCCCTTTCTGAGCCCCACACCCTCCTGCAGTCCTTACTGCCTCCCATCAGCATGGGAGAGGAGCAGGGCCAGGGGCGTGGAGGTGCAACTGTGCATCGAAAGTGGAAGTCACTCAGTCGTGTCCGACTCTTTGCGACCCCAAGGACTAAACAGTCCATGGAATTCTCCAGGCAGAACACTGGAGTGGATACCCTTTCCTTCTCCAGGGGATTTTCCCAACCCAGGGATCGAACCCAGGTCTCCCCCGTTGCAGGCAGATTCTTTACCAACCAAGCTATGAGGGAAGCTCCCCCATAGCTGTGTAACGAGGGACATGGATTTAACGGGTGGGAGGAGCTCAGCCTTGAGAGAGACAAACTAGATTGCTTTGAAATTAGTGTTTAAGTGAAAAATGCATATTGTTCCACTTTTCAGCCTTTTAAATGTATGAATGGAAAAGTTAAATTTTTCTTCAACCAAATAATTTATGAATAATAGGCTTTTAGTTCTAAATTATGGCCAATTAAGGGAGAGAGACGGAAATAAAGAAAAGAGCAGGGATGGGGCCGCGGAGGAGTAATGAGAGTGTGGGCGGCTGGAGGAGGACAGAGACAGGAGGAGAGAGAGGTATAAGGAGCTGGAGAGACTAATACTGGGAGATAGAACAGTCAGCGAGACAGAAAGGGAGGGCGTGAGCGCTCCCACACCCGCGAAGAGCGCATGCGCAAGGCGTCCCCGCCTGTCCTCTGGGCGCACCACCCCTGCGGTCCCTGAGACACCTGCTCGGGGAAGTTAGAGGTCCTCAGCACGCCCACTGCGGCAGCGTCGCGGGCCCCGAGCCCCCGGATCCCGCTCCCTGGCGATGGAGAACCGGAGCCAGGGGCCGGACGGGCCTGAGCGCCGGGCATTTAGCCTCCACACCCAGGAGGTGCTAAATGAGGCTTGTTGGCACAAGCACCCACAGGAGGTCTAGTGTAGGACTGGGCCTCTGGGCCAGTACCCTCCCCTTCCTCCCACGGGAATAAACCCTGCTCCAGGAGGCCTGGGGAGGGGACTAGGTGGCTGTTCCTCAGGAGCGGAGAAGAGAGGCAGGCAGTGCTCTGGCCGGGTATCCACCACTCCTGCCAGGGCAATGGAAGGAAGCGGCAGGGCTGGGGTCAGCAGGAGGTTTAAACTCAGCATGGGAAACAAAACTCGGGCTGCCAAAAGGATGAGTTTCACTTGAAAGTAAAACTGGAATGAGCAGATTGCGCACTGAAAGCTGTAAAATGTGTTTAATGCATGGCCTTTCCCATTTTGCACGTAAAGGCTGAAGCTCATGCCCACTGGTGGCACGGGAAGAGTGGTGTGACAAGAGTGGGTCTGGGTCTCAGGGACTCTGGGCTTGTGCCTCTGTTCTTCCCCTAACATGCAGGGTGGCCCCTGCACCCCAAGTTTCGTCACATTAAGGCTGGATGAAATAATCTGTCATGTCTTTTCTGCCTCAACATTCTGTGATAACCGCCCCCCTCCCCCAAATCCTGGAGAAGTGAGGGGTTTCAGAGAATATCTTCCTGTTAGGTGAAACTTACAAGGAAAAATAATTCAAGAAACTTTTTGTTCAACCCTTGCTGGAAAGCCCACCCAACACCTTTGCCACCTGTAATGGAATTCAAGAATAACATCTATAACATCTGTCTGTCACGATTCAGGGTCTTAAGAGATCCCCATCAATCAGAACAGGAATCTATGTCTTAGGGCTGGAAACAGAGGTGGAGAAAGGCTTACTGATTGAGTGTGGACAGAGCTCAGAACACTAAATATATTCCTAACTTGTGTGGCATTTGCTTCTTCCTCTCTGAAGTTGAGTGATTCGATTTTATTGCAGATCTATATAAAAAGATACCTAAAGTATTAAAGGAGGAAGGAAGATGTGGCAAACCTCATTTAGTCAACAAGGGCGGGGGCGAGGAAGCAGCAGAGAGAAGGACTTAACAAAGACACACTAATTCAAGACAACACACTCACAAATGCCCGCCCATTTCTGTTATGTATTCAGAAACTAAAACATCAGAGATTCATAGTTTAGAGGTGAGGAGGACTTTGAATTTTTAAGTCCTTGCTAATGTACTTGGAATCTCTGGGTTGTAAGGGGTCTTTAAGAGCCAGTGCATAATTTGTCACATCTCCTTCCACTGCAAGGAAGAGCATGGAAACATACACTGAGGAAAAGCCTCCATCAGCTTGGATGCTTGAGAGATCACAGTGATTCTCAACATATAACCCCCAGATGCCCACCCCCCGCCCATGTCATATGTTATGAGCAAGAACTAAGCTTCCATTGTGCGAGGCCACTGACATTTTAGGGCTACTTTTTATTTGGCAGAACCTAGCCTATTCTGACTGATACAACTTGGGATACCACTTGGACATGATTGTCAAATAAATGGTCGCTGAAGTGATGAGGAAGGAAGAGTTTGCCCAGAAGCATGTATTTAAAGTGTCTCTGCCAGAAATCAGGCAAACTGCACACCCCACGAGCTCAGATTCTCCTTGCCCCTGCCATCCACAGTCCCTGGCATACATGGGCACCACAGGAATCAATGGAATCAAAAGGCATCGTCCCCTCTTCAGGTGAAATGTTCTTAATTCCTCCTTCAGAATTCCTGCCACAACTCCTAGGTTTCTTAATCAGCCACTATTCTTTTCTTGAAGATGCATTTTCTCTTTTCCATCAGCCCCCTTAGAATGTGATGCCTGACGTCACCCCAAGGCTCCAGGAACTGTCTGAGCGGAGCCGGTGAGAGGAGAGGACCAGCTCTCCTCATCCCAAGTGTTACGGGGCTGTCGATGTGAACATCAACCTGACACTTTTAAAACGTTTTTTTCCAGAGAGGCCAGTGGCGGAGCCTCCCAGGCTAGGATCCCCAGACAAACTGTCTCAACTTCACAATTTTCTCCCTGCCCAAGGGACTAGCGGCCTCCTTATATGAGAGGATGTAAGTCTGTGGGTAGAGCCCGGTCAACCCACGGGAGACCTCAGACCCCAGGACAACGCACTCAGAGCCATTCACAGCTGCAAACCACCATTAAAAAGACTTTCCACATCATTCGATCATGGACCCTGACAGCTTGAGACTCCTCTGAAAGACCTCAAGCACTCTCTATTTGGAAAATAATTATTCCTTTTTTTTCTGCAATTGAGTTGCAGACCAATAAATCTTCGGTCCCCACTCCCCCCAGTCCCCTCCTTCTGGGGTTTCGAGTTCAGACTCAGCTGCCCTCCAGAGCAACTGTCTCAGAGGCCAGAAGGGCTCCAAGGGGTCCTGCTTGAGGCTCCACTGAATCTGTCCAGCTCTGGACATCAGACCCCTGGGGCCACTGTGGCACTGTCTGGGTGACCTCATGGCGATGGCAGGGACTCTGGGCATCACACTGTCTCCTGGGCCTTTCTGCTCAGACAGCATCTCTCGAGGGGGCCTGACAGCAGCTGACATCTCACTGCTCCTTCTCCCCATCTTCCATGCTCAGCTGGAAGGGTGCCCATGAAATTCAGCCAGTCAGGAGCCTGGATGTGTTCACAATGTGGCTTTGGAGCCCCTTCATCCTATCTCACCACCCTCTCCAGTGTTCTTTTCCTGTTTCCTATCCTCCATGATCTTCATGCCCAAGAAAACCCAGTGACCCACTGCATCCCGTATGTGCCCCCTGGCTCTCCACCTCTGTGCCACCTGAATCACATTTTTCAACCGCTTTTAATGCTCTCTGTTTCAAGCACTTAAACATCCAAGGGCTGCCTGTTCATAAAGGCACATCTTGATGCCACCTTGGACAAAAGAGCAGCCTGATCACCTACCATCACACCTTCCTCCCTGGTCCCCTCAGTGTTCTAGGTTACCACGCAGAGACCACCAACACCTGCTCACCCTGCAATCCCTGTGCTCTCCCTGCCTCCCCGGCTGTCAGCTCCTCAACCACCCTGCACATTTTCCTGCCCCATTTCCTAGCTGTCTGGCCACTTTTAGATGTTGATTCACTGGAACATTTCTGCCCAGGGAAAGAACCGATGCTGCTTCTTACTGGGTGTTGGGCTCCCTGACACACAGCACCTCACTTAGTCCTTGCTATAATTTTGTTTTGTTTTGTTTGTTTGTTTTCCTTGCTATGATTTTGTGTAAGAGTTTCTTTATGCCCATTGTATGGATGGAAGAACTGAGACTCGAGAGATGAGGTGACTGCCCAGGCCACATAGGCAAAGAGTGGAAGAGAAAGGAATTGAACCTGAACTACCTCCCAGACCATCATAGGTTTTTGCTCTTCAAAGGTGGTGTCTGAGCGAGTTGTTTAGCTGGTAGCACTTAGCATGGCTTGTGTTTGTTGAATTTATGAATGAATCAACACATCAAGCATAATTTTATTTATTAGTTGACTTAATAAGTATCTATGGTATGCCTATTATGTGCCGGGCACTCTTCTAGGGACTGGGTGGTGAGGGGGCAGACACAGCAGTGAACAAAATGGATGCAGTTGTTTCCTCATTCAGGGGACCTCATATTCTACATCAGGGAGAGGAAGAATGACTAAATTGAGCAGTTTCTATAAGTCAGTGATGTGGGGACAGTAAACAGAGGAGGAGGAATAAAAGGTCCAGGGCTGGGAGTGGGATCTCGCTGAGCAGATGGGACCTAAGCAGAGACCTGCCTAGACAAAGGATGAGCAAGGTAGGAGTGCCAGCAGGAGGGGACAGCACGTGCAAAGGCCCTGAGGTCGGGCCGCGTCTGCTGGCTTCAAGGAATAGCAAGGAGTGAGCAAAAGGGGTGGGACCGGCCCCTGGAAGTGCTCTCACTTTTACTCTGACAGACCCGGGAGCCTCTGCATGATGTGAGCAGAGGAGACACATGGCCTGAGGGTCTGGACAGCTGCAGACATAGGCAGGGCCTGGGTGAGGTAGAGGGGCCAGCCAGGAGGCTTTGACCAGGAGGTGCTGAAGATGGGGAGGGGCGTCTGACAGCTTTTCTGACAGAAGGCCCAATGGACGGAGGGGTGGGGAGCAGCAGAGAGGAGTTAAGGGCACCCAGTTTGCAAGGAGACCAGCGACTGCATCTAGGACAGCACAGGGTGTATTCACCCTTCTGGCTGCAAAGGTCTTATTCCTGAGCTAACAAAGGTCATAGAAGGTCATGGCACTGTCGAGAAGACAGTGCCTCTCCGAGAGAAAGATTCACTGCTCTCATTCTGCTTCCAACGAACGGCCATGGTTTTACATCTCTCTCCCAGGGCAGGCATTGCTCAGAGTCGCTCTCTGCCTGCCCCTGGTTGGAGCCAGCTGAGCACAGAGCCCTTACTGCTGCTTCAGTAGCAATGAAACAAGTAAAGAAACCGTGAAACACCAAGGAAGGATGGCAGGGCGAGAGGAGGAGACGAGCCGAGTGTGGAGCAGAGGAAGGAAAGAGAAAGGGCGGGGAAAAGGAGACAGGAGTGATGAGAAGGTTCCAGTCACAAGAGTGATCAACATATAAGACACTTGAGCAAATGTAACAGGAACGTGTAGCCTGTGTGTAGCAAGTGTAGAAAATGGCCTGACTGAGATACTCAAGGAGCACCTGGATAGACAGAAATGTGTGCACTTCATGGTCTAAATGTGCAATTCTCTGCACATACATTTAAGAGCAAAACGATCAAAATTCCAACAGGATTTTTTAAAAAGTCACCTAATGTCTTGATCTGGAAAGGTAAGAACAGCTAATATTCTTAATAATGAAAGAAGACAAGTATGGATAGAAATTAAAACAGATTATAGAGCTGCAATAATTTTCAAGTTGTTGGGCTGGCCCAGAGATGCCAAATCAACTGAACAGAGTTCACCGACCCTAACCAGGCTGCATGGGATGTTCACAGTTTGTCCCTGTCCTTACATTTTTTTTGGAGCACTTTATCCTTGTCAAGATTAAATGCTTTCTTTAGATTTTGAGACCATCTTGAGATGTAAGGTGGGCTATTATCTTTAAACCCATTTATCAGAAGAGCAAATGAAAGCTCATAAAGTTGGAGTTTGGGATTGACATGTACACACTACTATATTTAAAATAGATAACCAATGAGGAGCTACTATACAGCACAGGAAACTCAGTCTACTAACCTGAATGGGAAAAGAATTTGAAAAAGAATGGATAGTTGTATGGGTATAACTGAATCACTTTGTTGTACACCTGTAATGAATACATCATTGTTAATCAACTATACTGCAATATAAAATAAAAAGTTTCTATAAAGATGGTGTAGTAACTTGTCCAGGGTGACCTGGTGAGTTTCTGGCAGAGCACCTACCCCAGGTGAGGACCCTGGTTCCCAGCGTGGGCTTGTCCCACAGCCCTTCTGTGCCACCACAGGGATCTCATGTGACCTCATAGATATCCATGACACTGGGCTGTATGTGAGCTGTCCCTCAGTGTCCCCGTCTGGAGTAATCTCTTGGGCTGGTGGGGCAGGGTTGAGGTGGAAGATGGGGTGACCTCCATCAACCCCTACCTTGCACAGAGAGGGGAATGTTTCAAGAGACACCAGGCTGCAGGCCAAGATGTTGTTTAATTCAAACACTTATTTCTTAAGTGCCCTCAACATTCTGGGCACTGGCAGGCCCTCAGCAGCTCCACAAACCACTCAAGATCTTGCCTGCTTCCTTCTCTGTCCACCTCTGCGCCCCCGCCCCCAATAGCTCCAGGCCTCCTTTCATGTCTACTGCCCCTTGACTCCTCTTGCCCAAAAGGCAATGTGGCCTCATGGTGGAAACACACCAGATTCATCTCTGATGGTCTGGAGTTCTGGTCCTGACTCTGGCACGAGCTGGTGCTGGGGCTACAGCCTCACCTCCCTGGGGTGTGGTTCCTTCACCTGTCAGAAGGACAAGACCCCCTTCCCACTCTAGCTCCCGGGGGTAGCTATGAATCTGGAGCAGGGCCAGCAAGCTATGGCCTGTGGGCCAAATCTGGCCTACCACCCACTTATGTACATCCCACAACCCAAGCAAAGGTTTTACATCTTTAAATGGTTGAAAACAGTCTAAAGAAAAATAGCTTTTGTGACATGTGAAAATTACATGGAATTCAAGCTTCAGTGCCCATGAATGAAGTTTTCATGGAACACAACACATCCATTTACTTTGTTGTTGTGGCTGTTGAGTTGCTAAGTCGTGTCCAACTCTTTGCAACTCTATGGACTGTAGAACCACCAGTCTCCTCTGTCCATGGGATTCTCCAGGCAAAAATACTGGAGAGGGTTGCCATTTCCTCCTCCAGGGGATCTTCCCAACCAAGGGATCGAACTCCCATCTCCTGCACTGGCAGGAAAATTCTTAGCTGCTGAGCCCACCAGAAAGTCCAGTTTCTGACTACTCTACCTTAAAAAAAAATAGCTTAAATAAAATCCATTCACTTAGGTATCACCTATGGTTATTCTTCTGCAGCAAATGCAAAGCCGAATAATTGAAACAGAGACCAAATGGCCTAAAATAATTGCTCTCTGGCCTTCACAGAATAAGTTTCCTTATTCCTGGTCTAGAATGTTAAAGTCATGTCCTGGAAGTCACTTTATACATGGAGAGACTGATGAATAGTAAGTTTGGGCATGGAGATTGGGCCATGGCAGGAATAGAAAACCTGCTTTCTGAAACGATGGACATAAAGAACTGGATTAGATCTCCTACTAGATTGCCCACCTGACAGGCCAGGCAGCTGAGGGGCAGCCCGAGTCTCCTAGGAGGCAATGCCCACCTAGCCAGCCCCTCAGGCCAGACCCCCATCCCAGCCCCGCCCTCCTCTCGCATCACAGCCACCCCGCCCTACCCTTCCTTCCATGACTGTCTCAGTGGCAGGCATGGCCTCCCCTCCCTCCCCTCCAGTCCCACTCACGTGATCTCATTGTTCACATCAGTGATGTCGATCCTGTCCAGGAACCAGCCCGGTCTGTTGCCTGAGTTGTCATGGCGAATCCGAATCTTGGTCAGGGGCCCCAGGTCAATGGCATAGATGGTGAAGGTATCTGTCTGGGAAAGATCAGAGTAGCATTCATGGGGTGGGGGCAGCCCTCCCCTCCCCACCTCACCATCAGCTTCACCCTCCCAGGACCTGGGGCAGCCTCAGGCCAATTGTTAGATCCAAAGCATCAGGAAGGAGGGGGCATGGAAAATGTAGCCAGCCATCTGGGGTTTTGTCTGCACTACCGGCTTCTGTTTATTGAGTTATCATTAATATACAACATTAAATTAGTTTCAGGTGTACAACATAGTGGTTCAATATTTTTATACATTATGAAATGATGACCACTTAAAGACCAATTATCATCCATCACCATACAGAGTCATTATAACATTATTGACTATATTCCCTACGTGTACATTACATCCCTGAGACTTATTTATTTTATAGCTGGAAGTCTCCACCTCTTCATTCCCTTCACCTACTGCACTACTGTCTTTTCACCTGCCCCTGCCAGGGAGGTCTTCTCATTTTCACTGTGTCCTGGAAGGTGGAGGGAGGTAAGAGGGTGATAGAAGTGACCGTGAGAGAGGAGTAGGGGAAATGGGTTGACTGAATGCCTGCATTTGTGTTGTGGGGGGTGTGTGTGTATGTGTAGGACCTGTTGCTTGCATGTATGCAGATACTACATGCTGTGTGTGTACGTATGTGCATAAACTCCTTCAACCACACATTCTGATTAAGTACCTACTATGAGTCAAAGTGCAAATCCAAAGTAATTGACAGAATGTAAAGTGTAAGACCTAGATTGCTCACCATTCAAGTGGGGAGAGAGACCACTAGGGAAGCCTTATATGATACCAGTGTACATATATGATACCAGTGTACGTACATGATACCAGTGTACGTACATGATACCAGTGTATGTACATGATACCAGTGTACGTATATGATACCAGTGTACGTACATGATACCAGTGTATGTACATGATACCAGTGTACGTATATGATACCAGTGTATGTATATGATACTGTACGTATATGATACCAGTGTACATATATGATACCAGTGTACGTACATGATACCACTGTATGTATATGATACCACTGTACGTACATGATACCAGTGTACATACATGATACCAGCATATGTATATGATACCACTGTACATATATGATACCAGTGTACATATATGATACCAGTGTATATACGTGATACCACTGTACGTACATGATACCAGTGTATGTACATGATACCAGTGTATGTATATGATACCACTGTACGTATATGATACCAGTGTACATGTACGATACCAGTGTACATACATGATACCACTGTAAGTACATGATACCAGTGTATGTATATGATACCACTGTATGTACATGATACCAGTGTACGTACATGATACCAGTGTATGTATATGATACCAGTGTACATGTATGATACCAGTGTACATACATGATACCACTGTACATACATGATACCACTGTACATATATGATACCAGTGTACATACATGATACCAGTGTATGTATATACCACTGTACGTATATGATACCAGTGTATATACATGATACCAGTGTATATACATGATACCACTGTACATACATGATATCACTGTACGTATATGATACCAGTGTACGTATATGATACCAGTGTACGTATATACCACTGTACGTATACGATACCAGTGTACATACATGATACCACTGTACATACATGATATAACTGTACGTATATGATACCAGTGTATGTACATACCACTGTACATATATGATACCAGTGTACATACATGATACCAGTGTACATATATGATACCACTGTACGTACATGATACCACTGTACGTATATGATACCAGTGTACATACATGATACCAGCATATGTATGTGATACCACTGTACATATATGATATCAGTGTACGTATATGATACCAGTGTACGTATACAATACCACTGTACGTATATGCACTGGAGGAAGCATATGACACCAGGACCAGAGAAGTGAACCCAATAAGTGAATGAGATCTTCTTGACTATAATTTTTAAACTACTTATTGAAAAGCATTCTAAATTTACAGAAAATTTGCAGAAACAGAGCAATGAAATTTTGTATAGCCCTTAGATCTTGTTTTCCCTCTCACTCTCTCTTGCCCTTTCTCTATTTTTTGCCTGAATTATTTGAAACTATTTGGCAGATATAGTGATCCTCTACTTTTGAATTCTTCAGCATGGATTTTCTAAGAATAACATTCTCATATAATCTCAGTGCTTGCGTGCTCAGTAACAAGTCATGTCCGACTCTTTGCGATCCTATGGACTGTAGCCCGCCAGGATCCTCTGTCCATGGGATTCTCCAGGCAAGAATACTGGAGTGGGTTGCCATGCTCTCCTCCAGGGAGTCTTCCCAATCCAGGGATTGAACCTGCATCTCCTGCAGCTCCTGTGTTGTAGGTGGATGGATTCTTTACCGCTGAGCCACCAAGGAGGCCCATACAATGACAGTACAATTACCAAATTCAGGAAACAAAGTCAACACAATATTATTTAACATGTAGTCTACATTCAAATTTCATCTGTTATACCAATTACATCCTCTGCAATTTTCTTCCAATTCTAGTCATCATAGTGGCTGCAAGTTTTAAAGGAAACACAGAAATAAATCCTGATCTTCAAGTCATGGGAAGGTGGTGTTGAAGAAAAAAGCAGGGACATCCAAAATAGATCAAGCAATGAGCCCAGAAGTATTTTTAATGGATTTGTACATTTCTGGTTCTCCTCTCTGTTGATGAGGGAAGCTGGCTTTGGGATGCTGACAGAAATGGGAAAGCTGACATGAGAGACAGTCTTCTAGCCAGAGGACCCTGTAAAATCTCAAGGGACAAGAATGACAGTTGCATTTTTCCATGCTTTTCCTACTATACCTGGAAGGAGAGGGACCTGCATTTCTCTAAATGCTCAAATGCCGTCGTGGCATCACTGCCTCAGGATGTAGGTCGAGTTTCTCAGCTGTCATTTAAGGCTCTCATGTCCCCAACCCTTCAGTTTGTCATGTCAAGCTTCTCAGAGGCGGCACCCGCCATGGCTTGGCAGTAACCACAGCAGAGTGAGAAGACCCACCGTCCAATGTCCTCCAACTGACCTTCCACACTTCCACCCCACACCTCCCTCGTGTGGTCCCATCTTCAGGGAACACCTCTCACTGTCATCGTCAGATCAGCACCATACTCCTCCACCGCGGTCCAGCTCACACGCCTCCTCCCCTCCAAGTTTCCTCCAAAGCCCATCTTCTGGTTAGCACTTCCTCCCTGAACCCCTGTCCCCCCACTCAGCACCTGAGGGTCTGGTACCCATGCCGCCTCCAGTTAGTTCCTGGGCGCTTCCTGGCACCAGACCCCACCTGTGCCTTTCCTTATGTCCCCGCCACAAAGCCCTGGTGCTGTGGACGAGGCGCTTCCATTCTACCTGGCTGGACTGGACAGGGCGTAGGGCTGGACAGAGCAGTTGCCGTGCAGGCTGGGCCTGCCTGGGGAATCACCAGAGGGCTCCCTCCATCTGGGACCCACCAGCCCCCCCGGGGGAGCCCACACCCTACCTGTCCCTGCTCAAACTTGTTGGACTTGTCTGACTTCTTCAGGGGCCGCTCGCCGGTGTCCCCGTATTCCTCCCCGTAGATGGTCAGGAAGACATTGGCATCAGTGCCAGCCTTGGGCACATTTCCTGTGATCACCTGTACCTCGTAGGTGTTGGCTGGGGGACACAGAAAGGTACAGTGTTGAAGACACCTGGGCCTCGGGGTGGACTGGAGGCTCAGCCCGTCAGATCCAGCCAGATGGTGGAAGCAGGAAAGACCTCGGGGTACACCCACGTCTACACTGACGTGGAGGCGAACTGGTTCCTCCTCCTATCCAAGACTTCCCTTCACCACGAAGCCCAAGAGGCTGCGAGTTCTGGCAAGGCGCTGGTCCTCAGCAACCTTCCTGCTGATGTCCCCATGATGAGTCACTGCGAGTTATACCAGGGCTCCTCCCAAGAGTCTCAGGGCAAGGGCAATGCCAGCAAAGAACGGTCCGTGGTGGCATTTCAGCACAGCCCAGGTCAGGAGAGCCATGGAGGGCCTCACCTGCAAGGAGAGCTGGGCATCCTCCCCTCTCTGCAGCCCCTCCCACCCTGGGAGCTGAGTAACCCCTCTGCAGGCTTACGCTCAGGACCCTCCTGGCCCGTGGGCACCAGCTCCACCACCAGCTCGTTGTCCTCCTTGCCCCGGGCCAGCCAGCGGTGGGCATCGAACTTGTACTCCTGGATCACCTCCTGCATCCCGGGCTCCAGCTCCTCCTCCTCTTCTTCCTCCTCGGTCTCCTCCTCCTCTTCCTCGGACGAGGACTCCTCCTCCGACGAGGACTCCTCCTCCTCGGCCTCCTCGTCGCTGCCCTCCTCCTCCTTCTTCTTCTTTTTCTTCTTCCTCTGCAGCTTGGCCTTCAGACGTTCCTTCCGGAGCAGCTGCCGCAGCCTGTCCTTCTCCTTCTTCCTGCGCGCCTCCTCCTCGGGTGTGAGGTCCTCCTCCCGCACCGCCAGGTGCCGCAGCCACACGGTGTCCACGTACCAGCTGGGGCTGAAGCCCTCGCCCGTGTGGCCGAGTCGGATCTTGAAGACCTGGCCCACGTCCGCCGCCTCCAGCTGCACGAAGCGCGGGGGCAGTGGCTTGGGGGGGCCCTCGTCATCCTCCCCGGGGCCCTGCGGAGCCAGGGGCTGGGGCCTCTGAGTCAAAGCTACCCGCGCACCTCCTCTCCCCCGAGCCCACCCAACCCTAGTTTCCCTGCTGGAACCCCCTGCACCCAAACTGATGTCTTCTAAACCCCCGATACAATGGGTCAAGATGGGCTCCTTCCCTCTCTCTTTCTCATTCTCCACTTTAAACACACACACACACTTGGCATATCACACTCCTGTTTTTCTTATTTCTGTATCTTTGCTCCCTCCTGCAGAATGCTTTTATTCCCTCCTCTGCCTCCAACTAAACCTATTCATTCCAGTTCCTGAGCTTTATTATTACCTTTTTTTTTTTTTAGTGTTGTGACTTTCTGTGCTCTCTTTCTGAGCATTTTTTCCCCCAGAGTTAATCATATAAAACTTTTCTAAGAAGCAGAAAAATAATGTGCTGTTTGTCAAAGACAGAAGTCTCCCCCACGCCCCCAAGAGGCCCCAGCACCCCCCACACACACCCAGCTCTCCCCTCCCCGAGTGCTCAGGGGGGTCCCGGAGGTTGGCAAGGTCTCGGCCTAGCCTGGATGCCCTCTCTGCCCACGGGCACTACTGTCTGTGCACTCAGCTCTCTCCCGCACTGGGCCTAGCACACGGCCGGCTCAAAGGGCAGGGATTTAGCTCTGCTTCAGAGGACTGGGTCCTCAGCCTGCCATCTGCCACTCTGGTCTGAGCCTGACACTGAGGGGAGGTCTGGCCCCGGCTCAGGCGACGGCCCCCTTGCTGAGGAGACTGAGGCCCAGGGCTGCCCCATGAGCTGTTCAGTGTCCCCCCGCAAGTGGAGCTCAGACCTGCAGGAGAGTTCAGGTCTCCTGACTCACTGTTCATGAAGCCACAATGTAGCCAGAAGCACCTGTGTGAGAAAATGAGCAGCCAAAATGGAGCCCAGGACCCCCTGAAAGAGGAGTGTATTCTTCTCAGCTTTGTAGGGATGGGCTCTGGAAATGGGAAGTTCCTTCTTCAGCACATTCCAGTAGTTCCTGGTCACAGCACCCTCGCAGTCTGGCTCACTTGTCATCTCTCTCCCCCATCTCCTCCTCTCCAGTATTTTCCAGGTCACAGCACCCTCACAGTCTGGTTCAGTCGCCGTCTCTGCTCCCCCATCAACCTGCCCAGCTCTGAAGGCAGCCACCACCACACCCAGCCACGCAGTCCACTCACATCCAGAAGACGCTCTGCTCCTAACACCTCCATGACTGGTCACCGTTTCCTAAGTACTTTCCCTGACGTTGGCCATTTTCATCCTTCCAGGGGCTGTGAAGCAGGCCAGGTAGTTACTGTAAAACTAGGTTTGAGCTGATACGGAAGCTGAGGCTCAGGGAGGTGAACCGATCAGGCCTCTGCACTCTCAGCCGTGTCAGGAGAGAGTTGGACTCCAGGAGGCCTCCTCCACCGCTGACATTCCAGACACCCATGACCCTGGCCCAGCTCAGCCAGGACCCTCTCTGCTGGGCACTGGGTTAGCACTCTTTGCTGAAGGCCAGGCTACTTATGGCACACACGCAGAGCAGCCAGCATGAAGATGCTACCGCAGAACAGATCTGCAGACGTACACATATGCACGCATGCGCTTGTGTCCCACATAAAAGCTTCACATGCCCTTTAAAAGGCACCACCCTGGGCCCTCCTCTCCTGCCAACAGCATGCTTACATTCTCACCTCTTTTTCTCTGCTACTCAAAGGGAAGTGAGGTGGTCTGGGGTACTCAGAACAGAGCCACGAGACCCCAAGCCTCCCAGTATCCTGGTTGGGAGGCAAGGCCCTACTCTTAGGCTGAGTGAGCTGTTGAATCAGAGGCCAAGTCTGGAAATGAAAGCAGTGACCAAGGCCCTAGCACCATATTTTGCTAAATTAGAATCAACCCTCCAGCCGTTCTCAGAATTGGCAGCATGTTAGTATCATTGGTAGAGATTTTAGAAACATACCCCAGTATTCTTGCCTGGAAAATTTCATGGATAGACGAGCCTGGCAGGCTACAGTCCATGAGGCCACAAAGAGTCAGACACAACTGGGCACACACATACACACAGACAGAAAATATATCCAACCATAGAGGTTCTCATTTAATCGATCCAGGTGTAGACTAGGTGGCACTAGTTTCTTAAAGCTCCTCAGATGGTTCTAATAAAAAGCCAGGGCCGAGAACCAACCCCTCTGTTTTCAGACATATGCTGAGCCCTCTCTTGGCCCCCCTCCACCACCACGGCTTTACCCCCACTCACCTGGAATGTGTCCTTGGATGCCCGTTCAAACACCTTCGAGCGGCTGGAGAGGAACAGCACTTCTGTCTTGCCTTCCTCGCCATAAATCTGCATGAATACTCGGGCAGTGGTGCTTGCTCCGCCTACATCCCCGGTCCAAACCTCAACCTCGTAGTGGATCACTGGGTGGGTACACGGAGGAGAAGCAGGACATTTAGTAATAGCAACAACAGTAATAATAGTTACAAAGCAAACATTTCCCAAACCTGTGCCATGTGTCTGCTGCTGCTTAGGCTTTGTCTCACCCAATGATACAAATGATACAATCCAATGATACATCCAATGATACAAATACTGATGTATCATAAGCAGTATTATTGCCATTTTGCAGATCGACAAACTGAGGCTTCGAGGACTTGAGTTGATTGTGGAAATGGCAAACCTAAGCAATCAGACTCCAAAGCTCAGTTCGCCTCTGTGCCGCATGTGTCCTCCGGAACCAGGAATGAGGTCAGTACACCAGCTGGCACCCTCTGCTGTGTGCCTACCCCTGGGCAGACACTGTGGGGCAGAGAGAAGCAAAAGGCTATGTGTTTGTCTTTTTCTCTTATTTTCAGTAAAGGAGGATGGTTGAAATGGTAATCTTCATTTAAATGTAGGCATCTTTCAGATGATACCAACAGAGCTACACAGAAAGAATTTGTCTCTATGTTGAAGAAATACTGTTAAGTTGTTAGAGGGTGGAAATGTGTTATAAGTATTCACCATTAGAGGGTGCTTCTTATAGGAGAGCAAAATGTCTCCAAGAACTATGGGACCATATTTTTTTTCCTAAGTGGCTATTACAAGACTTGTCCTCTCAGCAATGCTGTAAGGTGAAATCATAATTTTTTCAAGTTAAGACTTATTTTCAACAAGATAAGTGGTCTCCCATTACCACAGAAATGTGAGAAATTGGCGGCTGAAACCGAGGGGAATGGCTGAGAGCCGAAAGAAGTCGAACTAGAGATATGGCTTTAGCTAGGGGTGAGGTTGGGCAAGTTGATGGACAGGAAGGAGATCCAGTAAAAGCCAGCATTCTTAATGGGGAGTACCCCAGTCTCTTCATTCTCTCTGGTTTCAATAGTAACCAGGATTAAACAAAATTAGGAGAGATAAAAATTAGCATGCAGAGAACAAGAGCCAGCTATTGAAAATAAACGTGTGGTAGCTGAAATAAAGTATTCCAAAGAAAGGGTAAAGTCAAGGACAGCACTGAAGAACAAAAAGGAAAATTCCCAAGAACAAAATGATAGAAAGATAAGAAAATCAGAGGAAGCTTAACAAATCTCAGTTCTAAAGAAAACAGCAGACACAGAGAGTTGGAAATTGTCAAATAAATAAATACCAAAAAAAAGGTCCCAGAGCTAAAAAAAAAAACTTCTAAATTCAAGGAGCTCTTGAGTTCCCAGAAGATTGGATGAAACCAAAATCACAAAAGATACTGAAGATATCATGAAATTTCAGAATGCTAGGGATAAAAATAGGATCCTGCAGGTCTTAGAGAGAAAAAAACCCAAAGGTTTGGGTAGCAGAATGGCATCAGACTCCCAGCTGTAACCCTGGGAGCCAGAAGGTGGTAGGAAAACCCCTTATAAACTCTAAGAGAAAATGAGTTCTAGATCAGAATTCTCTAGCAAGCCAAATTATGGATCAATGGTGAGAGTAGACCAGAGACATTTGCACACATTCAAATTCTCCATTGCAGTGGACAATGAACCAAAGAAGAGGAAGACGTGAAATTCAGAAAACAGGAGATCTAACCCAAAGGAGAAAGACTGGAATGTCCAAAAGATGGTGGAAAGGAAGTCTCAAAAGGAAAGCTTCATTGTACCCCAGAAAGCAAGAGTTTCCCTTGTGACAGGAGTTGGGGAGAAGGAAATAGAGTTCCTGTTGGGTTTGAAGCTATGAAAAGAACTTTAGTTCTGTTGGAGAGATGGAGATAAGATGGTGTTATGGAATAACAGTGTCCTCCCAAAATTCATATGTTGAAACCCTAGTCCCTAGTATCTCAGAATGTGACAGCATTTGGAGACAGGGTCTTCACAAAGGTGATTAAGTTAAAATGAGGCCATTAAGGTGGGTCCCCATCCAATATGACTGGTATCCTTACAAGGAGAGACTGGGACACAGACATGCCCGTGCTCATAGGAAGACTTTGTGAGGGACAGTGAGACAGTGGTCTTCTGCAAGCCCAGGACATAGATCACAGAAGAAACCCAACTTGTTGACTCTTCAGCTTGGATTTGCAGACTCCAGAGCTGGGAGAACACAGTTTTGTTGCTTAGGCCACTTAGTCTGTGGTAATTTGTTATGGTAGCCCTAGCAGACTAATACAGATAGGTGGGTATACAGATGGGTATATAGAAATATATATGTGTATATTGAAAACTCTACTAGTGAATAAATGAGATTATTATTAACTCCAGAAAAAACAAGTTATATAAAAAATGAGGCATAATTTTTATGAGTAGGTATCTCAGCAGTGAATAATATTTACATGGTTATAATAATATAAAAATAAAATATTGATTATTGACGGTTGGAGGGAGGGGATATATGTGTGTGTGTATAAATGTATGTGTGCGTGTGTTAAAAAAGCTAAATCCTCCTATTCCATAGTAGGAAGTTAATAGTTAATGTCTGTGACTGAAAATAATTAATGTCTATGACCAGCAAATTTGGAAAACTCAGCAGTGGCCACAGGACTGAAAAAAGTCAGTTTTCATTCCAATGCCAGAGAAGGGCAATGCCAAAGAATGTTCAAACTACCCCACAAATGCACTCATTTCACATGCTAGCCAAGTAAAGCTCAAAATTCTCCAAGACAGGCTTCAACAGTACATGAATCGAGAACTTCCAGATGTTCAAGCTGGATTTAGAAAAGGCAGAGGAACAAGAGATCAAATTGCCAACATCTGCTGGATCATCAAAAAAGCCAGAGAATTCCAGAAAAATATCTACTTCTGCTTCATGGACTATGACAAAGCCTTTGACTATGTGGATCACAACAAGCTGTGGAAAATTCTTAAAGGGATGGGAATACCAGAACTCCTTACCTGCTTCCTGAGAAACCTGTATGGAGGTCAAGAAGCAACAGTTAGAACTGTACATACAACAATGAACTGGTTCAAAATTGGGAAAGGAGTACGTCAAGGCTATATATTGTCACCCTGCTTATTTAACTTATATGCAGAGTATATCATGGGAAAAGCTGGGATGGATGAAGCGCAAACCAGATCAAGATTACTGGGAGAAATGTCAATAACCTCAGATATGCAGATGATATCACCCATATAGCAGAAAGTGAAGAGAAACTAGAGAGCCTCTTGATGAAAATGAAAGAGGACAGTGAACAAATTGGCTTAAGTCTCAACATTCAAAAAACGAAGATCATGGCATCTGGTCCCATCACTTCATGGCAAATAGATGGGAAACAATGGAAACAGTGATAGACTGGGCTCCAAAATTACTGCAGATGGTGACTACAGCCATGAAATTAAAAGATGTTTGCTCCCTGGAAGAAAAGCTATGACCAACCTAGACAGCATATTAAAAAGCAGAGACATAACTTTGCCAACAAAGGTCCATCTAGTCAAAGCTATTATTCTTCCAGTAGTCATATATGGATGTGAAAGTTGGATTATTAAGAAAGCTGAGTGCCAAAGAATTGATGCTTTTGAGCTGTGGTGTTGGAGAAGACTCTTGAGAGTCCCTTGGACTGCATGGAGATCAAACCAGTCAGTCTTAAGGGAAATCAGTCCTGAATATTCATTGGAAGAACTGATGCTGAAGTTGAAGCTCTAATACTTTGGTCACCTGGTGTGAAGAGCTGACTCATTGGAAAAGACCCTGATGCTGGGAAAGACTGAAGGCAGGAGGAGAAGGGGATGACAGAGGGTGAGATGGTTGGATGGCATCACCAATTCAATGGACCTGAGTTTAAACAGCCTCCAGGAGATGGTGAAGGACAGGGAGGCCTTGCATGCTGCGGTCCATAGGGTCACAAAGAGTCGGACAGGACTGAGTGACTGAATGACAACTAAGTGACTGAAAAAAAATCAAGCAATTGATAAGTATATTACTGAAAATATGGAGATATATTTCTGAAGAAAAAGCTAAAGTTATTAAAAATGTGTTACCTCTGAAGAAGGGGGATGGGTTGGGGAAAGAGGTAGGTAAGGGAACTGCTGCTTTTTTCATCTTTATCTTGTAGTACCTGTATCATGCTGGGCTTAGTCGCTCAGTCGTGTCTGACTCTTTGCAACCCCTTGGATTGTAGCCCACCAGGCTCCACTGTCCATGGGGATTCTCCAGGCAAGGATACTGGAGTGGGTTGCCATTCCCTTCTCCAGGGGATCTTCCTGGAGATTGAACCTGGGTCTTCTACATTGCAGGCAGATTCTTTACCATCTGAGCTAACAGGGAAGCCCAGTACCTGTATTGCTCTGATGGAAATCAAGTTTGAATTCATAAAAAGAGGGAAGGGTTTGATTCTGCACACTAGCAGGTACCACTACAAAGCCTGTGTATGTGACTCAGTCCTCAGAGAATTTACAGGTTACATGGGGAGAGAGGACGGACACAGTGAGAAGACACAAGGCTTTCTGGAAGAGGAAGCAGTGAGTTCATAGTGGGTTCTTTCTCAGAGCAGCTTCCTGTGGCAGCGAGTCTAGGATGGCTGCTTTCAGGATAGACACAAACACACTGTCTGTAGCATGTTTGGACTGATGATCCTCTAGATAGCCTCTTGTTTCTTTAACCCCTACTTAATTGATGGCTCTCACATCATGTACAATAGGTAGCCAGATCACATTGTTTCACCTCCACTCAGAGAGGTCACCACCCTGTCCACATAGTTCCCTCTTCCCTATTTTGTTGCTAACCTCTTATCTTGCTTCCTTTTCTTCCTAGCTCTTACTTGACATTATACTATGGATTTATTTTTTGTCTCCCATCATGGAGCGTGAAGTCCATGAGGACAAGGCTTTGATCTGTTTTTCTCATGATTGTCTCTACAAACCCTAGGGCAGTGTCGGCACAGAGAGACAGTCAACGTACACATATTGAATAAATGAATGCACAAACAGCTTATCTCTTCACTAGTATTCCCAGGAGGAAAACTATTTCTCAAGCTCCTCTTGTACGCAAGGCCAAGAAGGTATATTTCTCAATAAAGTCATCTGCTGCCTTTCTCCCAGAAAACAATGGTTCATCCACCAAGTCCTCAGGTTCCCCATCTGTAGAAGGAGCCCCCTTTCCCTCCCAGAACCCTACCAGGGGCAACTGGAAGCTTCCCACTTTGAGCCAAGATCCAAGTCACCCACAATCCCTTTTCCTTCCCCGCTGCCCCACCCCATGGGGAGCAGTGTTGACAGTCCCGTCACAGCTGCCTCCATACATTTCTGGATGTCCACCACCTCGCTGGGGTAGAGCTCCACCTCCAGGCGCCCGTCAGCCTGGTCCTTGTCCAGCCAGCGGTTGGCAGGGAAGGTGTACATCTTGCCTTGGCGGGGCACGCGAATCTGGACACTGCCCAGGAACCAACTGGCATGCATGCCCGTGCTGTCGTGCCCGATCACCAGCCGGTTGATCTGGAAGGAAACACATGATACATGTGAGCAAGGGGCCGGTGTAGAAGCCTCCATCCTTACGCCTCCAAAACACCAGGGCAAGTGACTCCCCTCAGCCGGGTCTCCAGCTCTTGAGGAGATGCAGGCTCAGCAGGAAGGGCTGGGTCCCAGGCTGGGCTGGCCTCAACCAGCCAGGAGACCAGGGCCCCATCTCTCCAGCCTGGAGGCTCTGTCCTTTTGTCTTTAGTTCAGCCCACCTCCCAGGGACGTGGTGAGAAGCGAGTGGGAGGAGAGGTGTGAGCGGAGCTTTGAAAGCTCCAGAATGTACTGAATGCTAGGCAGTGGACATCCTAAGAATGTGGTGGCTGCACAAGAAAGCAAACGTTCAAGCTATTAACCATTGGCTTCTGGTGGCCATGTCGGTGATTTGGCATTGTTCTGTCTTACACCATACACGGTTGTACATGTTTTTGCACATCTTCTCTGGCACAGCCATCCTACAGGTGACAATATGCAGACAACTTTTTGGGGCTCTTGTCATTCTGTGTCCCGTGCCTCCTCCCACTCTTAGAACCAAGGTGTATTTTTCTCAATAACACTATAGTTCAGTTGCTTTGCTATTTTATATTTTATGTTAATCTTTGCCCACAGATGTCATAGATGAGCATATAAATGTGCACCTTATCATCCTTAAATGTACCTCGTTCTTCAGTGTTTGAATGACATTTATGTTTTTGTTTTTTTGACATGCTATATCCAGGCCAATTCTAACATCAGATGAAATTCTCAGATGGCCTTTGAGATCCCTTCCAGCCCCCTGGATTCTCTCTGTGATGGTTTGGAGGGGTGGTGCTAGTTGTGAGCCTGTTGCCCAAAGGCCAGATTTAGAAAATTGTCCCTGTAAGCCTTGCTCTCACTCTTCTGCATCCTGAGCTCCTATTTGCCACTACTGATGGAAACCTATCACAGCTGAGTGCCTGGAGGCCAGTCCCCTGGAATCCAGCTATGTCTACAGACACAGTCTGAGAGCCTTTAGGATGTGGGCCAAGGAGCACGGGAGAGCTTCGTCATCTTTCTGTGGGGCTGGCACTGTGACAGAGGAAAGACAGGAACAGGTGTTTTCTGTCTGATATGACAGAAAATGCCATGAAGGCAGGGATCATCTGTCAGTCCCGCAGCGGCCGGAACCTGACATGGGCAATCATTCAGTCACTAAGGCTAGAGTTTACTGAGTACATACGTGCATGTGGGTGTTACTAACATAGTTAATGCTAATAACAATCCCACTGGAATCCCTTTCGATAGTCGTGAGAAAACCAAAGCAAACAGAGATGAAGTAACTTGCACATGGCAGGTAAGTGGAAACACTGGGCCTCAGACCAGGCAGTCGGGAGCCCAAGCCCACACTCCCCAACTTTTGGCCACACTGCTTGCTGAGCAGGTTTCAGAAACACAAGAAGGACTCAAACGCCCTTCTCCACCACTCGGATGTCTCATTTATCTGCTGGCTGCTGCCAGAAATCCTTAGTTAAGGAAGCAGCATTTCAGTCTACACTTATTAATTCAGCTTAAAATGTAAATACAGCTTGATCAAAGAAAATCTTGATTTAAGCTAAGGAGCTTCAAGATGTAAATGACTGACATGAAATCATTCCCCAGAGCACCTGAAATCAGGTGAGGCTCACCAAGAGGGGAGGGGTCGGCAAAGGGGAGCTTGTAACCCTCTCAGTTTCCACAAGTCACCTCGAGAGGGACAGGTGGTAACATGAAGTCCTGCTCAGACACTTTTAGGAAAGTTTCCAGCACTTGAGTGCAGGCAGTCAGACCCACACTTCTCCAGGTGAATGCTTAGACCCCTCACGGCACAGTCAGCTGTAGAGGTGATGGTGGGGACCCATCTCTTCTCTAAGGCAGAATCTCTCAGGTGTGGCCTGGGAATTCACACTGAAACAGGCTTTCTGGGTGTCACTGTGACAGACACGCCAGTTTGGAACTGGGAAGCATTTTCAGCCCCTCTTTACAGCTCTCCCTCCTTCCTTCTTCCTCCTTTCCTGCACACCAGTGTCGAGGGCCCAGGTCCCTCTGGTCCTGGCTTCGGAGGGAAAGGAAACGCCAGACTAAAAACATGAGTTCCAGCCCCAGAGAGAGTCTGAAAGCTTGACCACTGCTCACATGCCTCCTGCTGCTCTAGGTCATAGCTGGAAAACAATGTACTGCACTAGCCAAGTGGGCACTTTTCCCCTTCAAATGGGTTCACCTTTGTGTACGTGAGAGTGTGTGTATGTGTGTGTGCATATGTGTGTGTGTATGAGTGTGTCTATGTGTATGTGTGTGTGAGTGTGTGTATATGTGTGTGCATGTGTGTATGCAAGTGTGTGTGCATGTGTGCAAGTATGTGTGTGTGTGCATGTGAGTGTGTGTGTACTTGAGTGTGTGAGTGTGTGTGTATGTGTGAGTGTGTGTGCACAAGTGTATATGTGTGTGTGCACCCATGTGGAGATACACACAGGGAAAGAGGTGAGACACCTTCACACCGTCTTGGGAAAGAGTCTTACGTTTCCAATGTTGACGGTCTCCAGGGTGAACTCATCCACTCGGCTACGTTCAAAATAGTCTTTCAGGTTGTTGTCAGAGACGAGAAGAACTTGCTTAATGGTGTCAGATTTGTCCCCGTAGAGCTTGATGTAGACTCTGGAATCTGTGCTGGCCCCAGGGACGTCCCCCGTCTTCAAGCTGATGTGATAGCGGAAGTCTGAACAGTCCAGGGCAGGAGGCGGGAAGGGAGGGGTTAGCGTGGGTGAGCTGCAGGGAGCTCCGGGCAGGAGGTGGACGGCCAGAGATGGATGCTCAGTTGGGCGTCGGGGGCCCAGGCTCTTGCCCTCCTCACATAGCTCTGAGACTGTGTTGGGGGTGGTGCTCCTACCATCATTTGGAGACCCCTCATCTCAAAATCAGAATTCTGATTCCTGCTTCATCTGCCCCATAGGGTGTGAATGCGCTGAGAACAGGAAGGCATGCAAAGAATACTAAAATGTAAGAGACGAGGATTTAAAGCAAATACGCATTCAATTTCTCATCTGATGGATGAAGAAACCAAGGCAAAGAAAGCCTCTACCTCCTGGCAGAAAACATATAGCATGTTACCTACATGGTATTATTGCTGGTGTTATTACCTACATGGGTGTTATTCTGACCTCGGCTTTATAGGTGAGGAATCTGAGCCTCAGAAGATGACGTTTTTGGCCCAAGATGGCAACAGTTCAGAAGGAGCCAGCCTAGCATTAAACACTAGGCAGTCATCCTTAAGCATAATACTAGTCCTTAAATTTGAGAGTGGTGTTTTCACACAATCATTTAAGAAAGTAAGCTTGTATACATTTTTTTTAAATTGAGAAATAGAAGCTAAGTTTTATCAAATAACATATCTGGCATGATATTGAAATAGTCACAATTGCTTTCTCTGAACTATTATGTATTAAGGTTTATATATTAAAGTAAAATAGTTGGAGATGTTAAAAAAAGAGTCAGCTATGAAGTAAATCCCTGATGGGGACCCGAAGTCTGGTTCTCACCCAAACTGCCGTGCTGATGTCACTCTGTCTTATGACCCAGAAAGGTCTGTGTCATTTGTCCACAGGGAGGAAAAAAGGCCAGGCCTAGGATAGTCTGAGCCATGAGCCCAGGTCCGATAGCCTTGTTCCAGGGCCCGGGTCTTGGGAATGAGAAGGGAAGCACTGGAAAGGCAAGTGATGCTAGTTCCAAGGCCTGCGGTTCACAGCCGTCTCAGGGCCTTCTGGCGCTGGCAAGAAAGACTCGGAGAGAGGCAGCTAAGCACAGCTCTTGGGTGACAACCCCACAGACCAGTCAGGCCCTGGGTACAGGCCTGGAGGAGGCCAGGCCTGTGGGTACAGTCCAGGTCAGCTCCCCGGGCACACCTGAGGAGGTGGCTTCTGTCCTGGCTGTAAAGATACAGCAGGACCTGAGAAAAAGACTGCTGCCTTATGCTATTTTCATCTAAATCCTTTCAAAAGCTCTGACTTGGGGAAGAGGGAGCCTGAAGAACCCTGTCCCTGTGGAACAGCAGGGCTTGCTGGAGTGGAAAGGATGGGCAGGAAGACAGAGACGCCTGGGCGCTGGGCCCAGCTCCATGACTGACTGCAGACCTGGCTATCCTAGGGGCTCCCCTTGCCACCAGCATGAGACTTGTGTCCAATGAGGCATTTTTTCATCTCTTAAGAACTGCTCCAGCTCTTAAATTCTGTAATTCAGTATTCTCAGAATGCAGAATTCCAATTTTGCAATTTGCTATCTGACTTCAGGAAGATATTTAGCTCCACCAGATGTGGGTCCCCCCTGACAAACTGGCATAACAACATTAGCTCTGCTGATTTCCAGGGTTCTTGCTGGGCTCACATGAGATAAAAAGTGATAAGTATGAGGTCTTTTTATTCATGTGAGCCCAGAAATAACTTTGGAAGGTCAGCGGAGCTGATGTCATTATGCCCATTTGTCAGGTGAGGATGCAGATCTGGTGGAGCTAAGTATCTTCCTGAGGTCAGACAGCAAATTGCAGATAATAAGTGATAAATATGAGGTCTTAGGGGCTTTCCTGGTGGCTCAGACGGTAAAGAATCTGCCTGCAATGAGGGAGACTCAGTTTCAATCCCCGGGTCGGGAAGATTCCTTAGGGAAGGAAATGGCAACCCATTCCACTACTCTTGGACAGAGTGGCATGGTGGGCTACAGCCCATGGGGTCTCAAAGAGTCAGACACGGCTGGGAGATTAACAGTTTTATGAAGCCTTGGAAAAGAAACCAGGTGTTGGTATTATTGAGGATTCTGAATATATTTCTTTTAAATTTTGTCTAAGACTCATGAACAAGTCAAGGTTCTTAAAGAAATAGTACCAGTAAGGAAAATTGTATGACCTCTAGGATAATTCTCAGCATCGAAAAACAGGGTCCTCATTGTACAGCCCCTGCCCAACGTGTTTATCCTCTCCAGGTCCTGAATGACAGGTACCCAGCCCGGGGCCGGGCAGCGTTAGCCAGTGTTGCTACCCTTGTTACTCTTGACAGAAGCCCACAGGCATCCAGGGCCCCACATCCAGGCCCGTAAAGAGGCTGTGCACAGCTCAGACAGAGGGTTCCAGATCCTCTCTCAGAGCCTCTTCCTGCCCACCCTCTGCAGTGCTGCCTTCATGGAGAGAAGTGAAGGGTGTGTGCTTTCTCCAAGGGCTGGTTTCTAGGTAGCCAGGGAAGTCCCACCCAGGCCAACCCACCACCTGTCCTCTGGATCACTTACTCTTCAATGTCGCGTTGCTGTCTCTGGGCAGCAACTCTCGGACCAACTGCCCATCATCCTTATCCTTGTCCAGCCACCTGTGGGCAAATGAGGGCCGTTAGCTCCCTGAGTGGGGCAGCCCGACAACCAACCATCACACAATTCACCGGGAGGCTGGAGCTCTGAACTCAGCAAAGGGAAATGGTTCTACCAGAGCTCAGAAGAAAGGATCTCAACCCAGACTGGGAGGGAGGGCTGCCCTGCGGAGGTGATAACTGGGTAAGACTGGGAGGGTGATGAGGAGTTAACCAGGAGAGGAGGGAGGTGCTTTCTGAGCGAACAATATGCTGGGACAGAACAGAGCCTCCAGGAGCAGACCGAAGGCAAGTGTGGAATGGAATGGAGCAAGCAAATGTTGCAGGATTGGCAGATGAGGCTGGAGAAGGGGCAGGGTCACTTGATGTGGAACCTCAGTTATCATGGTAAAGAGTCTGTCCTAAAAGCTGTGAACACCTGTGTCATTATCATAAAAAAAACCCTACCTCTTTTTCTAAAAGGTCATCATGTGCATGGCACTGTGCTGAGGGTGCTCTGTGGTGTTGGGGACGGGGGGAGCAGAAAAGATACACTAAGATGAATAAGAGACAGCCCAGGACCTAGAGAACCTGCAGTCTAGTTAAGGAGACAGGACGTAGAATAAGTACTAATTCTATTGGATAAATAACTCTTTCTTAGGCATCACTTAACTAGCTTATTTTTATAGACGTCTATCTTTAAGTTGGTATTACCCACTTGTTGTTTGGTCACTAAGTCGTGTCTGACTCTTTGTGACTACATCACCCACTAGACAATGAAATTTTTGAGGACAGTGTCTCTGTCACACCTAGTCCAAGGTTAGGCATTTGGAAGAGTCCAAAAAGGCTTGAGTGACTTAATGACTGGGATTGACATACGTACACTACTGATATGTGTTAAATAGATAACTAGTGAGAACCTACTGTCTAGCTCAGGGAACTCAACTCAGTGCTCCATGGAGACCTTAATGAGAAGGAAACACAAAAAATGGGGAGATACATATATATATATTTCACTTTGCTGTACAGTAGAAACTAACACACCATTGTAAAGCAACTACACCCCAATAAAAATTAATTTAAAAGAAAAGAAGGAGGCAAGACAGACTGGCCAAGGTACTGGATGGAGACCAAGACAAGGACGAATGTTGGACCAAATCAAGTGCAACAGAAGTTTAGAGAAATGAGAAAGGCTCATGTGAAGAGACTCTGATCTGACTTCTCAAGGATGTATGAGATTTGCCAACAAGGAGACGCTGGGTCTGCACCCTGAAGGGAAGGGGCTTGATGGCTATGACTCATCAGTACATTGGAGTGGGCCACAGTAGATGCCAGCAGGAAAGACATTGGACCAATTTGCCTGAAAAACACTGTTTCCACTGAGCACAGAGACCCAGCCTGAGAAATCAGACAGTTGTGCAAGTAGGAGTTATCCAGGCCCCAGTACTCAAGATGGTCTGTGATATTGGGCTGATGGCAACAGAAGAGACACTCTCAATGTTCTCCAGGGCAACAGGGAAACCAAGATACTTGCTTCTTGTCCAGAGTGTCACCCCATATGTCTGTGTCTTGGTGCTTATCTTTGCAGTCATTCCTATTATACTCCCAAGAGGGCGGTAACTCCTGGCCACAGAACCTATCAAAGGAAGCCAGTTCAGTTCAGTTCAGTCTCTCAGTAGTGTCCAACTCTTTGCGACGCCATTAACTGCAGCACACCGGGCCTCCTTGTCCATCACCAACTCCTGAAGTTCACCCAAACCCATGTCCATCGAGTTGGTGATGCCACCCCTTCTCCTCCTGCCCTCAATCTTTCCCAGCATCAGGGTTTTTTCAAATGAGTCAGCTTTTCGCATCAGGTAGCCAAAGTATTGGAGCTTCAGCTTCAACATCAGTCCTTCCAATGAACTGGTCTCCAGGACTGATCCCCTTTAAGATGGACTGGTTGGATCTCCTTGCAGTCCAAGGGACTCTCAAGAGTCTTCTCCAACACCATAGTTCAAAATCATCAATTTTCAGCGCTCAGCTTTCTTCACAGTCCAACTCTCACATCCATACATGACCACTGGAAAAACCATACCCTTAACCAGACGGACCTTTGTTGGCAAAGTAATGTCCCTGCTTTTCAATATGCTATCTAGGTTGGTCATAACTTTCCTTCCAAGGAGTAAGCG